CCCACACCCATCAGCTGACGCGCCAAGCCGACAATCTGTAACGGGGCGTTGCCGACAGTCTTTTGGTAGTCGGTAGCAGACCCGAAACCGTGGACGCTCAAGTTGCGGAATGCGACTCCGGCAGTCCTAGCAAGAAACCGATCGTCTTTGGACTGGAGATTGAACAAAGCCTTGATCCAGTCCCGAGTCTGGAAGTTATCTGAACTGGGATCTAACGATGAGCCCGGTGCAGCGGCGAAGGGATTGGCGTCGTCGGTCCTGGTGGATGTCCGCGAGAACTGTCGAGCCAGGTATCTGACACGCATGTCACCTTCGTCGTTCTCTAAACTTCTAGATTGATCGTCTGGCAATTTACCGTCATCCCTTACCGAGCTCGAGCGACGCTCCAGACCGGTGCCGTGGTGGGAGAACGATATATCTTCGATGGCTGCCGAGTGATGAGCATCTTGAGATGTCCGTTGCGGGATGTTTGACTGGTCAACCTGCGATTCCCTCCGGAAATGCCCCGGAATCCCAGGTCCCTGTTTTCCTGCACTGTTGTCATAGTTGGAAACGAAATTTCCTACCAGAGACATCTTGATATTCTTGCTTTTAATGGGCAAGCAACCCACGGCGAGGTTGAATTTGCCCTGGTTTTGAACGAGGCTATGAGGGGACGTATGTTCAAGTGGGCAATAGAAAGGCGGATGCCTCGATGAGTGCTCGGCAGAAGGTGACTGGATCGTACGCAGGCCGCTTAATAGAGAAATGGAACAAAAAGAAACAAAAGAGAATCAGAGAATGACGATACTAATTGAGAGTGCGGTCTTGTAGACACAATCTGCAGGCTAGGGATCTTATATCGATAACCTCGATCAAACCTTGAACATTGGATTGCGAATACACACCCCTAGTTTGCATGTCGATAAGGTCTTCACTTGGGCTGCTCGCACGCATTGGTGGATCATGGCGGAGCATTTGTGCGTGATGGGGTCAGGAGAAGGACGACGGGCGGACGAAGAATGCTGGGCATTCGAAGGACGCTTGAGATGTGCACCGGCTTCGGAAACTCCAAGTGCACAAGAAGCGAATGCCAATCTTAGGGACGTGGCCATATTGATATTGGCTCGTGGCAATCGTGCTGGGAAGAGAAAGCATGTAATGGTGGAAATCAAGTGAACTTCGGAGAAATTAGAGTTTGGAATGAGTCGATGGTTAGGAGAATCATTGGGTCAAGCTCCACAGCATGACTCGCTCATTACGAGGGGGTTTCCACCACTCTCCACTCATCTTCGCCCCCTTAATTGGACCAGCCTTACCACCAAGCATTGCACAATTTGGAGTCTCCATTTTGCCTATTTTATGAACAATGCCTCGGTAGCCGGAATGGATACGGCGAAACGTGCATCCGGCTCTTCATAAATACATTAACACTTCCATATCGAGGAAAGTGCGTGTCCGAAAGCTTACATATGACAAAGTTGTATTGCCATATTGGATCATTTGTACACACTCAACAGAACGGTCAGGAGATCAAACTATTTTAGCTGGTTGGAAACGCAAGGGGGGAACTCTTAGCCTGAGTACCAACGAAGATTGCTTTCGCGGTCTTTGACGATACAGAAGAACAAAATGACCTGGATATAGTTCTACGGTCACTGACCTCGACTTCTCTACTTTCTCCCATGGTTGGCAGAACATGCAATGTCTCCCTCTCAGCGAGTAAGCATTACCTGGAAACCCGCTATTCACGACTCCTAATTCTAACAACCGCAGATCCCTGAGCTCAACAACATTTCAGTTCCTCGTGGGTTTGGAGAGAAAGGCATTCAATGTCCATTCCAGTCTGGCCGTGAAACTCTCCCCTGTCTTTGCCGCCCTAATCAATGGGGACATGGCCGAGAGTGTGGAAAGACGGGCTGTTTTGGATGACATCGACGAGAAGACCTTTTTGCGCTTCTGCGAGTTTGCCTATAAAGGAGATTTTTCGGTCCCTCCTCCTGAGACTGTCGCAGACAGGGAAGTCTTGTCACCACTACAATCGGGAACAAGCTGCGACAATCTCGGCTCCAGCCATTCAAAATCCTTCTCTACTGGTGTGGAAAAAAAGAGCGACAGCGGTGCAGGAGAAGGGCTAACAACGCCAACGGACAGCCTTCGACAAGCACTACACCATAACCACCACAAGAGAGCTTGGACGCATCAAATTTCTCGCCCTATTTCGTGGTTAAGGTGGTGTAGAATACATCAGAACTCCAAAGTCCATAGCACGGACACCCAGGCCAAAGCTCCTGTCATCTCATATCATCCCGATCCCGGCTCAAAGCTAGCGATGGACTGGACCAAGTTCCGCAGCGCTGCGTCGGACTGGAACGGGCCCATCTTCCACCCATACAGAAATTCCACGCCCTCAGAAAGTCTGATGGAGACGCTCCTGTCCCTGGCAAAACTGTACGTCTTCGCCGACAGATACGTCATTGAATCACTCAGATCACTGGTTCTATACAAGATGCGCCGAACCTTGGTCTCGCTCAAGTTGTTTCCGCAGCGCGTATCAGAAGTTTTCCTGCTCGTTCAATACGTCTATGACCACACAAGAGAGGGCGACGATCTCAGGTTATTACTGACGCAGTTCGCCGCCTGCATGATAAACGTCTTCTTACAACATTCCGATTGGGACAGATTCATCTGCGAGCAGCAAACATTCACCTCTGAATTGCTGCACCATCTGAGGGATAGTGTGAAGGAAATCGACGACCATGGAAGGCGTCGCGCAGCATAATAATCGATCTGTCCAGCCGCTGGATGCCGATATGTACCAGATTTTAGCGTATTTGGCACAGGGGAATAACCAGAGCATTTATTCTTCAGGCCGACAACGATCAAGCACGCAAGACACTCATTGCCCGCCGTGACATAGAGCCACGAAGATGGCCACTCGCAATCTTGAATCGTTCAATGAAGATCCTCATCGACTTTGACGGACGATACAACCCTGGACAGCTACCCTACAGAAATTAATGAACCGGATACTGGTAGTTCGACATTGTCAATCGTGTCTTTTACGAGTTCGGCTCCACTTCTTACAGCATCCCCACCTATATAGCCGAGATGAACATCAACATCCAAAGACCGCGGATCTGATATCGCCGTTCAGTGAGTCTGGTTGGTGTCGGGCGACTTCCTATCATTGCTCAAACACCCATATTTATATAAATTTTCTCTGGCACTAGACAGCGTTGCCCTATACTTTTTGGTTTATATTTCTGTCGACGTGTGTTCTTTTGGATACAGATCATCAGAAAGGGAATGGACTGAGGTACCTAGGTATTGTATGGCCGTCTGTGCCAGGTTCTGATTTTGAACTCGACTCGGAGGAAGCCCTCTGGAGTATGGTCGATAAGATTGCCTCTTCTAGGAAGCCTACAAACTTTCTTCGTTATTCGGTTTTACAGATATGAGCTAGACATCGCGGTTAATAAAGCCTGCCTCTCTTCAACTCCGGGGGAAGTAGAGTCTCCTACCCCTAGTGATGACGAGAGGGGTGTCCTAAGTTAGGAAGAAATGAGAGTAAGCGCTGAACATAGACACAGGAAGCACAATGTGGAGAGGCGGACAATCGAGAAAATAGGTGTTTAGAAGAATTGTCAATTTGACCGTTGGTCGATAAGCTGGCCCTGATCGACCATCCTACCGATAGTCTTTGGTTCATCCATATCTGCGGTGGTTGGGCATTTCCCGCGCGCCAGAACTGAGCCTCTCACTGCCTCTACCACTACTCGACGAGAGTAGTCTGACTTGACGCCGGTCACTTGTCTTCGGCATGTTCCTGGCTCCGAGTAACAGTTTGTGTGTCGTTCTCTTCGGTCGCATCCTTTCCCTCTGCAGTTTCTCCCCCCTCCTCACTCTCTTCACCGCTATCATCCAGAAAGATCTCCTCTAGGAATTGCACTACCTCCCTCAATTCCTTCACCTGCGGGTCGTCAGGCTCGTTTCCGGCGATCACCGTAGCCTCCAATTCTTCTACTACTCTTGTAAGCTGATCAAGGATTTGGAGGGGATCATCGTCGGTATGGATAACCATGGTGAGAAGTACGGCTCTGTGACCGTAAGCTTTAGATGAGAGACGAGGCGAGAGGAGACTACTGCACCGACCGATAATAAGGAGGAAGGTATGGGTCGAGTAGTAGTTCGCGCGCTCTTGGATCCCAATTGTCGTCGTCGCCGTCGTCGCCGCCGCCGCGTTCGCGCCATGCTTGTCGAAGGAGGAGGAACCCGCCGCGGTACCAACGGGCGAGATTAGACATAGAATCCGCCATTCTGTTTTTGTCAACGGGTGTGGGAGAACTACGCAGGCTCGGACTGAATGCCGCAGGGAAGCAAGGAATTACTTGGTGCATCAGCCAATCTTCACTGCGGGTAGCAAGACAGAGAACCAACCAATCCTGTAAGCGGATAGAGGACTCCGAGAGCGTAAGACCAGCAGTCAATCTGGACTCATTCAGAGCCTTTTCAAAGGTTTCCTTGAAGTTGCTCCTCAAGGATTCGTCGACGCAGAGAGTGACGCCAAGTGATCGTGAACTCGAGAAGATGGGCACGGAATACGCCCCTTCCTAATTCCTGAACTTCTGTGGGCAAGAAGTGAATAACTCGCGTCACTCTGTTGTCAGATAAGGACGTAAAACGTTACAAGGGTCGGGTTCTGTCTTTCACTTCAGTGACGCTTGCTAGCTTCTCACGTACAGGGAGCGATTAACCCAACTACGGAAGGTTCAGAACGTGTTTCGCACAGTTGGGACGTATGAAATCCTTTCTTCGATGGAAAAATCTTCAAGACTCTGTCTCAAGACTTCCAAAAACGACGCCATTGCCCGGAAACAGCATCGAAGCTGGTTCCTCAAGAGTACTCGCCTCAGTTTTCCCAACCATCTAATCATGGTGAAGGAGTTCAGCCCTGGGCTCTATGTTTCTTTGACGAGGGTGATACGAAGACGAAATACTATTCCGAGAGACTGCAGTCCCCAAGAAAGATCATCGCTCAGTGTTGAATCCCGCTCCTCAAGGGAGGCTCAACATAGGAAACGCCCTGGCCTTTACCGAGAGACTGCCCTGTCCCTGTCTCCTTGAAAACGCACCTTGCCAACCATCAAGAACCAAGCTGCAGAATTTCCCGATTCTCAACGACCTTCTCTGGTGGCGGGCTGATGCAAGATCTAATCAGCGCCCTCGCCAGCTGAGTGACGGGGACGACCGGGGTCATCAGCGATGCGATCTTGCCGAGTACGACGCTCTCATCGGGTACGACGCCGCCTGGACGAAGCACGATCGCCTCGAACACGTCTGGATTGGCGTCGGCAATGTCCAGCAAGCCCCGTTCCGCGGCACCCTTTGGTTGACGTTAGTGAAGACCGTCGTAACAAGCTGACAGATCTGGGAGAATAAAGAAGGGCTGACGGTACCTTCAATTTTCGGGTGTCGGGAAATAGCCAGAGTTTCTTGTCCTGGTCCCATTCGGCCCCGTTGCCGCTGCAGAAGACGAACCGGAATCTCTGTCCTGGTTGCAGGTTTGGACAGATGCCTTCCACGAAGGCGTTTGCGGCGGCCAAGGTGAAGTCGACGCCGACCTTCCTCGCAGTCTGAAGATCGGGGAAGTCCTCGACCTTGCCTCCTAGGCACCTTGGACGCCGGGTCAGCTTTTGTCTAGCAATCAAAGCACTCAGGTGCATGTCCTTTACCAAACACAGCCTTGCACTCCTTGAAGTTGCTCGAGCAGGTCTGCCGGATACGACTGGAAGTCCTCGTGCAGGATGACCTGCACCTTGGGATTTTGGCTTAGCTTTTCGTCGATATTGCGCCGAGTAAGCACGATGATTGAGGAAATCTCGGGGTTCTCGATGGATTGGACGACAACTTGTTTCCCAACAAAGCCAGTGGCGCCAGCGATAATGACCTTCATCGTCGTAATCCAGGTCCTGGACACTTTGATGGTTCCAATATCTGCGTTCGATTTCTGTAGTCGCTCTCGTGGGTAGAGTACTAAGTCAACGAGAATGAGGAGATCTTGATGAGGCAGGTATTTCAGCAGGAGCCACTGTGCGAAGCTAACAGCATGCGCCGAGGGATTAATATCGTTCTAGCATGACGTTGTTTCCAGATATACGGTACGCACAAGCGCCTTATCCGAGTCTGAATCATATGAGCATTCTGCAGGCCGAGCCAGACCTATCGGTAGGTGCTTCGGATATAGGCCATTCCATGGGAAAACAGGTCCAAATTCGTAGCGTCCGAGGCGAATGTATTTGATAGGTGGAATTGACATCCCAGCTCCTTGTCCGGGTGGATCTAGGCTGCGGGAGGTTGGATTAGTGATGTAGATACTGGCCGATGGGATATTGGCAAAAAAGCAGGAGCGTGACTTGGGACATCACTTCGACCCAATGTGAGGGAGGCTCGTACGAACTTAAGAGCGCAGAAAGAGAGATCCAGATATCACCTTCGCCCGCAGGGTTACCGGGCAAAGAAGTAGACAGTTACCTGGAGCCTTGCGTGGTCTTTGACTGTGGAGAGATGTTTCAAGAGAAGTGTCGCATAGTGCTGTGACCTTTAAAACTCGAAATTAACTCCAGCTTCGCGAGAACCACTCTGTGCACAGCTGATCAACCTTGTGGCCCTGAATAACGCCTCTACCCTTGCCAAGTCGTCGACCGCAACCCCCGAAAAAAAGCTCGCAATGTAAATCCATGTATTCGACTTGTCATTGAATCGTGTCATTCATCATGGCTTTCCCACGGATCCCATTGTCATCACCGCAATACTCGGTCGTAGGTCTGTCCTCTCACGGACCCGCCCCCCATTGCCGTTCGCGCATTACGCCGGAATCCTTCTCGGTTGTTTCTGAGATCTTCAGCAGCCTCCTTGTTTAGCGGATCAGAAGCATTCGGCTCCAGGAAGAGGAACTGTCCATCAAGTTAACCACAGACACTCGACAATACCCGCTCTTGTAAGTGTGATGTTTACCTGCATGCCGACGATAACGGCGTTCAAATTCAACACAGGCTTCCAATCCTCTCTCAGGATGTTCAAGCAGACATTTCCCTCTAGATCAATGTTTGGATGGTAAATCTTCTGTGTGCATTTGACTTTGGGTGGATCGTGTGGGAAGTTCTGGTTGATGGAGAAGTTGAACACGAAGCTGCCGCCCTTGTACATTCCTTCATCTGGTTCGATCGTGAGGGTAAAGTTCAGGATATCGTCGGGGTTGGGGAACGTCGTCTTCATGGTTGAACCGAGTGACAGTTCACTTAGATCTGAGAGAAACTGCATTAGCGACCCCTCCACCCGGACAGAGCGAAGCGTCCAGATCTTTATTCACCTTTTTGCACGCGAAGTTGGGCAGCTGTGACCTTCTTCTTCTTTTGTGTCACCCCTTGTGCCTGTTCATCCTTTTGTTGCTGTTGCTTCTGCAAATTGCCATCAGCGACTTCCAATACGCACCCGGAATCGCTCGTACCATCGACCATATTTTCATCATCTTGCCGGAGGGTCGTCACCACGGAGGCGACAGCACAACTCGCTCAATATCTACCTCTGAAGAAATTTCAAGGACTTGGTGGAAATTGTGAAGGCGAGGACTTGTCGAAAGAAGAAATGCGGCGCGTCAGATAAATCGGTTGTAAAGGCGACAGAAGGCGCAATGAGGGTCGGGCGCAGCCTAAAACCCGGCGGGGAACAGTACGTTTCTCAAAGTCTCGCACGGTGCTGAATCGGGACAGCATGCAAAACGAGCAAGGGCAGTGAGAGGCGCTCACAAAGGGAATTCACTAGCAACGTAGATGATGTAGATGGCAGTTTATCGAAGATTTACAGGAAGTTAGAGATGAAGACCTGTGTCGAGTGGTACTTGCTCGTACATAACAACATGGACCTCGCCGCCCTCACATGACGCAGGTGGAATCCGCGGCCTCGCTTCTTATCGGCGGAAGACAGCCGAACAAGGCGAACACATAACTTTTACATGTATTTAACCCCAGTACCAACGCCATTTTGCCATTTTACTATTTTATGGCGGGTTCATTGCTAAATCTGACAGAAACTGTGTCATCGCCAACTTCAGAAAGAGATTATTCTCGCCCCGTGAGGATCCCCCTGAACATCCTTAGGACGCCCCGGCCTGCCAACCGTGATCCAACCGTTACCTTCCCGACACCCTTGGCTTTGGTGAGGTGATTATCTCCTATTGAAACAGCAGAGTAGACCGGTCCTGCCGAGGAACCAGCAGCATCCGGTGAAGCGCACGACAGAAAGAGCCGCTGTGGTCCACAAGAGTGCTTGGAAAAAGTGACTGCTTCGACTGGTCGCCCTAGACTATACAAGAAGTTAGCCGAGCCCAGGCAATGCTGAGACGTGTGCTGCTGATACTTACAGTAAATCCAAAGTTGTCGACGCTGTCACTAGTAATGACAACCGAGAGCAAGGCGTTCGAAAAGATCCAGGTCGCCACCAGTCGAGTTCGGAAGTTCTTGTACGAGTCTTCCAAGGTTTTGTCTTCCTTCTCCACTGGGGGCACGTACGGCGCCAAAGCGCGGCGCACTGTGGCCTCAAACTGAGAGTCGATGTCGGCTTGGGGTCTGTCCACTTCTTCCACCACAGTCGCCTTGCCCTTTTCATCCTTTTTGGTTTGAGCTGAAGGTAACACGTCTGCCTTGTCCGCGCCCTTGGTTCCCCACGAGACGTCGTGCCAGTTGCTAAAAGCGTAGATCATGAGGATGTTGATGAAGGATGGCATGAGGAGCAGGTACTGGATGAAGGAGGTGAACATGTGCCAAGGATCCATGTACAGGAACGAGGCGACAAAGTACAGTCCAAAGGTAGCGGCCAGTGCGATGATGACAATGCCAGGTCCAGTCGAAGCGAAGAAGGACTTGATGAATTCGTTGGCTCCCTCGTTTGTGACGATGTCGGTGCCATCCTTTGAAGTGAACGCTTTGACCACCAAATACATGGATAAGACGATCACGTAGAGCTGAATGACGGCGAAGACGCAGAAGGAGATGATGTATGCGACCTTGGAACCCTTGGGACGATTACCCAGAGCCAGGATGAACTGTAGAAGAAGGAAAGCGAGGTAAGCGTACTGCAGGACGGTGTTGATGATCGGTGTCGCGCTGTTGCCGAAGGGGAATGCGTGATCATTGTTGTTGCTGCTTGGCTGACCCACCAGATCCATGATGATCTTGGTGGTGAGCCAGAACGCCGCGAGTGAGAACCAGGAAAGGACGACCGACACAATGTTGTAGATCATTTGGATGTGGAAGAAGATCATTCGGATGATGTTGTGGCCCGATTTGTACATGCGGGAGAAGTGCATGAGAGAGTAAATGGAGGCGGCAAAGGACCCGTTGAGCCATCGTCGACGTTGACCGATGAACTCTGCAGCACCTTCGGGTACATCGGTTTCGGCTTTCGATGCCTTGACGTAGGTGAGATGCCATTTCGAACCTGCCTTGGCGACCAATTCAAAACACAGAATACGATCCTCGGCCAAGAACATGTTCTTCTTGAAGATGTTCATTCCCTCGATACCCTTTTTACCCAGCCGCTTCGAAAGGGTGTGATCACCGTGGAAATACTGCTCCAGAGGACGGCCCATGATCGCACGGAAACGGTATGCTGAGAACGCACCGGGCAACACACTGACGTAGCCAAAAGAGCTCTCCAACGGCTTGTCCAAGATATTACTGATCTTGTATTCGAAGTTCTGTGCGGCGACCAGAGGGTTCAAGAGCTTCCGTCCGAAAACTCCCCCACGACCCAACATGGCGTGAATCTCACCGCAAGCGCCTCCGAGATCCTTGTCGTTGTAGAAAGCTTCCCACAGTGCCATCAAAGCCTTGGAACCAGGCTTGGTGCCGGCGTCAAGGAGAATGCAAATCTCCGGGTTCAGGATGCGGCCAAATGCGTTGAACAGCCATCGGTGGGAGTTGATCTTCTTGCTGTTCTTCTGCTTCAGACAGAACATCATCTGCACTGGGGGCAGCGATGTGGGGTCGTTGTCGTTTGGTCGAATGAGCTGTTGATTCGCAGTCACCGAGAGTTGGGTCGTGTATTCGAATATATGGACCACGGTATCCTTGCCGTCGACGTCCTTCTTCATGACCCCGTCTTGGTACACACCGACAGTCGCGAGGACGTCCAGAGTATTCTTGTCACAAGGATCGATACCGTCGAAAACGAGGCACACGACAATCTTCTGCCAGGCCGGTCCGCCCTTGTTCCAGAACTCGGATTTCTTCAGGTTCACGATATCACGGATGTTCTGCATCACGCCGTGCAGCGTGCGGGCAGTCAAGACCTTATCCTCGTTGTAGGCCGTAATGGCGATGAGGAGCTCGGTGTGCCGGTTGTACATGGCGGGACGCAGGTTGTAGCCATTCTTCAGTGTGAAATCATCCGGGTCGCAGGTCGCGGCCGTGTATCGCATGTGGGTAAACTCCTCGCTGCCACCCTCGAGATCGGTCCGGTATTTAGATTGAATTGCATTTTGGATGGCACTGGGCACTGGATAGTCAATGCTCAGTACGCTGTTGACCACCTTGACTTTTCTGGTGGCGTAGCGTTTGACGGAGCCGAAACCGGGAGCTTGTCGTTGCTGCCATGCTTCGGTCGAATTGCTGCGCTGGGTCGGATCAGGGTACCCTGGCGTCGGGAAGCCGGCCTGTGTGTTGCTCAAGCCGTAGCCACCTTCGCGCCCGTACGGTTGAGTATGTTGAGGGTTGTATCCTGTGATTGGGGCTTGTGATTTGTCTCCTCCTACGTACGTCTCATTCAGGGTGTAAATCGACTCTTGTCCTGGCGTCAATGGACGGGAATGGGGATCGTCGTATTGCGACTGATATGCGGCGTTCTGATGCAGTAAGGAATGCTCTGCTTCGTCGTCTGAATGCTGTTCAGTTGGTCGGTAAGCCTGCACACGGGGTCAGTCCAGCTTGTTTCACAGCGCAGGGCCTCGATCCACGTACATTGCCAGGAGGTATGTCATTGAGCTGGTGACCATTGTCATAACCACCCGGATATTGGCTTGCCATGATGCCAAAGCGTGGGTAGATGGAAAAGAGGGTGTTGTGCTGGAGAGATCGGTGCGAGTGCTGAGACCCAGCACCACCGCAGATATTTGGTTACCCTGCGGGTAATATGTGATATGGCGGACAGGTCACTGGTCAAGTGAGCCGGTGTGAGAGTGTACGACTGACAGCCGCCAGGGCCGGTCAGAGGGCAGGAGTTCGCTGCTGATGGGTAGACCGCTGATGGCTGATGCGGGCTGTCAGAGGGAGACTGGCCTGGTGAATTAAGTGATATGCAGGATTGGATGCGGAGAAAGAGGAGGGAAAAGAATGTAAGTTGCTGAGGATCTCAAAGGAGAGGACAAAGAACCAGGACCAAGAAAGGTCGATCGTGATCGAATTAGGACTTTTACAAGATGATATTGAGAAATATCCAGCAAGACAAGGGACGAGAGGTGTTGTTTCAGTTTTCTTGGTTTTCTGGTCAGTTGTGCACACCCGCACAGCCTGCTGAAAAGCAGCTCAGCCCTTCTTGCAGGGTTAAGTCCCCTGAGCTGAGAGAAGCGAATCGGGCTGCAGCTGCAGGGAAATGGGAACAAAGCGCTGACGACAGGCATGGCACTACTGCTGGCGGGTGGCCCCCGAGCCACCTAGGCCAGTCTCAGGTAGTTGAGTCCTCGCGTAACTGGTGCTTGCGCCTTCTGGGCTGGCGAATCCCCGACTCGGTGCCCAGCGACAAAGACCTTCAGCCGCACCTCGCCTGCCTGCTCATGTTCCTCGATAGAAGGATGGATGCAGTCCTCCTGGGTTCTCACCAGACAGGCAGTCATACAGCACACACTGAGAGTAGCTGGGACAAACACACCCTTCACAGAATGTGCACCTCCATCCTCTATCCTCCATCCTCCATCCCCCATCTCCAACGTAGATCGCATCTCTAGATCTCAACTATGAAACACCGGCAGCGAACAAGTGGATCCAGCTCGCCAGTGTGTCTGGTCTTCAAGGGTTCGCCCGCATACGATGGTGGCGTCGTCCATGGCTTTGGCCAAATTCCACTCCCCCGCAGTTTCTGCTGGGCATGGCTTCTCAATGTATCAGACAGGATCACACGCCGCATGCGCTGGATTCATCGACACCCAAATGTAACCTTCTATTCCGGCCAACCTGCCAAAGGATAAATGAGATCACTGCATGCTGCAGGGTGACCCTGTGTTCAGCCGAATCCCAAATGGTCCAACTGACTCTGACATCGCTTGCGTGGGATATGCATCGGGGCGCCACAGCGTAAGACCTTGGCTTAAACCGTATGTACCCATATTTAGACCTTGCGAGTTGGAGGTACTGCGCCACAGGTGGCAACTGTCACGGCTATGGATACATAGCACCATAGTATTGCGTGCAGGAGACATATGCTGTGTTCTGCTTGGAAACGAAGTTCATTTCACTTAGGGCAGGATGATTTTTGACATGCTGATGCTAGATTGTCATCGTGAATGTTGCTGTGCGGGAAGAAGCTGCCCGAAACCGGTCCCTGCCCCTATTCCAACGCGGATCGTCAGCATCCCTGCGGAGTGAAGCAAAGATGATATTTTCTGTTCCTACTCTTTGTCCGAAGGTGAAGCTCAGGTCTGTGTTTGCAGGAAGGTAATCTGAATGAGAACATTCCTGTCGAGTTTGTCCATCTCTGGATGACTGCTGCGCGATGCTCTCGATGAAACTATAGATGTGTGACTTGGATATGCTGCAACATTTCGGTAGCTGATCAGTTTCCACAATGGGTCAAATGTCTCTTTGCACTGCCCTGAACGAGATGCCACTACCTGGCGAGCGATTCATTTTGGTGCTTCGCAAAAACAAACTTCTCGCCTGTCGCACCGTGTTGAAATCTCGAAATCCAATGCACCATCATCGAGGTCCGCCAGCGATGTTCGCTGAAATTCGGCTCATCGTTGAGCTGATGGTGCTCGTCAGCCTGGATGACTTCTGATTGGAAGGGGGCATGTCAGGTCAGGAGATTTTCAACGCTCTTCAGATTGAAGACCCTTGCGGCAGCGTGTTTGAAGGAGAGATTTTGCGGGCGGCGCTTTGCCCCTTGCAGGCAGTAGGCACCCAGTAGGCACCCCGTAGGCGCACCAAGCTTTCTTTCACCCAGGCCTGTGAGCCAACCGCATTCGGGGTCCACCGCCGGAGGCTGCGTGTACAATGCCCCTTCATCTCGCACTCGCTCACCATCGCCTTCTGCTCCCCTTCGAACATCAATGCCCATTTGCCCGTGCCTTTTCGCTCGTTGCTTTGGGCTGTCTCCATCCTCTCCACCACCTCTGTGCTGGCTGGAGGGCCGAGAACAAGAGATCTGCTGGCCCAACTCACCTGCGGCTGTTCTTCGACTCCTCTTCGTCCTTCGCACTGAGCGCCCTTCAATCTTTCACAGCGACATACCTACTTCAATTCAGTCTTTTCCACGTTGGATTTTGGCTTTCTGTTGAGACGGTTGTCTCGTCCCACATTCTTTTGTCTGTTTTCGGCCACGGCTCCCTTCACGGCCCAGCCGCTTCCTTTCGACCACGCAATTCTCCTCTTCGTCACAACAAGAACTCGTGGTTGATCCACAGTCATTTGGCACTTCATCATAATCTTTTCAGTATTGGATCCCCCGACCTCGTGTCAACGTAAATCTGTCAAAGGGGTTAAAGTCAAAGAGTTACGACTGCGGATCGCGCACGAGACACACGAGGAGGAGCTTTGCCGGGATCAACACCTCTGATCTCGTCAGGTCCAAGTGGCCCTGTGACGCTACAATTGTGAGGAATAAACGTTTGGACCTTCGCGGAGAGCGGCGCTCGCAATGGCGTCGAATGGGCGTATGCACTCCTATCTGAGATGTCTAATTGAAGCTAACATGGAGCGAAGTTTTCGAGTCCTCTGCACATCAGTTATTTCGTCGCTGTGTCCAGTGCCCCCCCGACCCTCCGAGCTGCCCGGCATGCGGCGTAGATGAGACCTGCTCCTTGACTGCTCAGTCATGCGACTCCTGCGCGTCCACCACCTGCGTCAAAATTGGATCTCTGCCAGGTCAATCAGCGCCAAAGAAGTCCACACCTGTCGGCGGCATCGTCGGCGGAGTTGTTGGAGGCGTGGTCCTTCTGGCTGCCATTGTTTATTTGGTATACCGGTTTCGAATCCGTAAGAAACGGCGCGCTCTGGCTTGGGATCCTCCAGAAAAGAGAGATCAATCTACGCTTCACCGTGGCGACCGTCAATCCACCAGGTCTGCTCATTCAATTGCCTCCACGGTCTTTACGCGAGCTTCGAATGTTATCCAGATCGCCTACATCCCAGGAGTAACCGTCCGATCACCCCCAGACTCACCAGGACTTATGATTCCACCCGTTCCCTCGATTCCTGGAGGCATTGCGTCCAACTCGGCAACCGGATCACCCCAACTAGAGCAGCATTTCTTCATGCCAAAGGACCTGAGAGATTCTACCTGGTCGGACGCTTCTTCCCTCGACCCGCGAATAAGTCTTGCACCGAGCTTGGCTCGCGCAAGTGTGGCGACAACGATTTACCGCAGTGATGCTATTGTTCCACCTATCCCAGCTCAGCAGGCCTTCCGAGCGCAAGCCAACGTGGTGAGTGTCAAGTCCGGCTCGAACACCCCAGGAACATCCTCGACCCCGAGCACCAGAACGCCACAGATCCCTCAAGTCCCACAAGTGCCCAAGTTGGGAAGCGGCAACAGCTCCATTGTGGCGCGAAATGTTACCGCTCGGCCTATCGAGGTCAAGAAAGTCAGTTCAGGCAACAGAGTCCCTACGCTGGCAAATCTGGCCAAAGAAGCCGCTCGAAAGAGCAGCACTGCTACGAGCTCCAAGGAGAGCATCGCATTCTTTGTGGATGAAAAGGAAGTGGTGACTTCGCCTGCGACAACCACCCCCATGTCCGTCCTAGATGAGTCCCCAATCTCACCTCTGGTGATTCCTAAGCAGCCCTTCGCTGCCAATCACTCAGCGAGATCGTCATCGGTGAGCGCCATTCTTCCTCTGGAAGGGTCTAAGGAAGGCTCCTCGAACGGGCCCACACACCGGCACACTGGCAGCGCCACCTTGAGTGCCGTGATTGAGGATGCTATCAAACGTGCCCGGAATCCTGAACACATGAACGTGACGAGTCCGACTTTGCGGCCAGAACTGGTCAAGCACGACTCTGGACCGTTTTCGGATGCCAACGAAGTGAAGGAGAATTTACCTTGATGTACAATAACTTGTTTTCGTTTCTATCATATCCGGCACCTTGGGAAACGCCGGCATGTGCCACGAGGCCCTTGACGATATATTGGGTGGTTAGATTAGGATGATCTAGAGATCGATTCTCGTTAGGAAAATTATACTACCCTACCATCACGATGAAGAGATGCCCCCTTTCGCTTCCTCATCAATATCGCATACGTATCAAGGTCCCACGTGTCCGGAGAATCGCGTAAGCCGATGTTTGATGGCTCGGCACGAAACGTTTTGCCGCGTTCTCCCCTATCAACGAACTTGAGTGTTGACGCGATCTCACGTGATTTAAATGACTTTCTGGCGGTCATGCAGACGCGTCCTTCTACGCGTTCGTTTATACGCGTTGTTCCGACACATTACTCGGTACAGTAGTCAGAGAACATATCCCATCTCGGGCAAATCTGCTGTCCTTCGACACCTGGTCAACATGGGCATCAAGATGGCTGGCGACTCTTCACCCCAACAGCTCTCGCCTTCACGGAACGAAGATATTAGCATACCTGACGCTCCACCGCCGGACGCCGTTGAGCTTGATGGGATTGAAGTTGATTCGGTAACAAAGCCTGCTGACCATGCCCCCGTGGCATTGGAGGATTTGTTTGATGGCGATGACGACGATCTCGAGAGCGCCTTGCATTCTTCCAGCGAAGCCAACATCCCGTCCTCACCACCACAATCGGCGCCGGAGTCCTCAATCGACACCACTGCGGCGACACAGCAGGAGTCGTATTCAGATCCCACCATAATGAAACAGTTTTATGCTCGGCTTTTTCCCTTTCGGTCCCTTTTCCAGTGGCTCAACCACTCCCCCAAACCGGGACCCGACTTCACGAATCGAGAGTTCGCACTGACCCTTTCGAACGACGCGTATCTTCGATATCAGTCCTACCCTACGGCAGACTTGCTGCGCAAAGACATCTTGCGACACATCCCTTCCCGATTTGAGATTGGTCCAGTCTATACTACCAAGCCAGGTGACCGGAAGATGTTGAAAAACAGCTCCAGTTTTAAACCATTGAGCAAAGAGATTGTTTTCGACATTGATCTGACGGACTACGACGACATCCGGACATGCTGTGAAAAGGCGAATATTTGTGCAAAATGCTGGTCCTTTGCTACAATGGCCATTAAAGTCGTCGATGTTGCACTAAGAGAAGACTTTGGCTTTGAACACATCATCTGGATATATTCTGGACGTCGAGGCGTTCATGCCTGGATCAGCGACAGAGAAGCCAGAGAACTGGACGATGACAAGCGCAAAGCCATCACTGGGTACTTTGAAGTGCTGAAGGGAGGCGTGCAAGGTGGCAAGAGAGTGAATCTGAAGCGGCCACTCCATCCTCACATTGCCCGAAGCCTCGAGATCTTGAAACCATACTTTCAACAGGTCTTAATCGACCAGGAACCTTTTCTGTCTCAGAAAGGACAGGACCGTCTTCTCCAATTGCTTCCAGACAAGGCGCTAAACGAGGCCCTGGTCAAAAAGTGGTCAAGCAGCCCCGACCGACCGAGCATCAAAAAGTGGGAAGATATTGATTCTCTGGCCAAGACAGGTGTCAGCAAGACCTTGGACACCAAGGCCTTGGTCGAAGCTAAGCAAGACATTCTGCTAGAGTACACCTATCCGAGGTTGGACGTGGAAGTCGGCAAGAAAAGGATTCACTTGCTGAAAAGTCCCTTCGTCGTGCACCCGGGAACGGGACGAGTGTGTGTTCCCATCACAGCTGGTGGTGATATGAATCGCGCCGAGGCCTTTGATCCGCTCTCCGTGCCCAAGGTTACCGAACTTCTCGGTGAAGTCGACCGATTCGGCAACGAGGAGGCTGATACACAAACAAATGGATATATCGAGGACGGCTTGACAATGAGAAAGCTGAATGATTGGGAAAAGACCAGTCTCAAGTCCTACGTTGAACTGTTCGATGGGTTTGTCCGGTCACTGCTGAAGAGCGAAATGGTCCGAGTCAAAAGGGAACGAGACGAAGAGGGGGTCACTGGAGCGGACGGGATGGAGTTTTGACGAACAAGTGCTATGTCGGTGCCGGTCGAGGACAACGCTTGGCTTCTTCCGCCGGCCCTGGCCTTGCTGCCTGCACATACCACAAAACAAATCCTGTATTCTGGAAACAGTACCTGGGTAATAGTCTCAAAGCGAGGCTTTTGCTTTTTGCGCAGACGCAGCATCGAGCTTCAACACCCGCCTCGCATTTCCACCCATGAACGCAGCAACTACTTCGCGCCGGAAACCTCCTTCTCCCAACAGGTGTTGCTTGACGCTATCTACACAAGCGTCCCAAGTCAGTTGAGGAAAGTTGGTCCCAAACATGACCTTTTTGCGTCCCGTTGTGTTGGCAAAGGTGATCAACTCCGGGGGATAATATTTTGGAAGATATGCACTGGTATCGATATAGACGTTCTCGTGCTTCCAAGCAACGGCTACCATTTCGGCCGTCCAAGGATATCCTATGTGGCCGCATATGATTTTTAGTTGGGGGAACTTGAGTGCAATGGTGTCGATGTAAGGTATTGGGCGTCCCGTTTCACTCGGACACAGAGGACCGGTGTGACCAACTTGGGTACAGAAGGGGATGTCAAGCTCGATGCACTTGACGTACAACGGCCAGTAATGGGCATCAGTGGGTGGCAGACCCCATAGCCATGGCACGACACGCAGGCCTTTGAAGCCCTCGTTGACCACATAATGCTCGAGTTCTTTCACGGCATTCACCGGGTCCAGCAAGTCCACAGATGCAAGGCCAAAGATCCGATCAGGATAGGCTCTAGTGAACTCGGCGACTTGGTCGTTGGAGAAGACCACTTTGCCAGGCCGACGCCATGATGCCAGACAGATCTGGGATACCCCTGCTGAATCCATCATGGCAACCAACTCCTGAGGTGTCGGTCGACGAGCCACAAAGTCGGGATCGGCATGACTCTGTTGAAAAAGCCGCTGGGCTTCTGGCACACCATCCTACAGCAACTGTCAGGAGCCGCGAATGACAGAAGCAAGCCATAGAGGTTATGCAAGCATAGCAAAGAGATGTGGGATGACCATCGTCAAACCAAGAGCCGAGCACATACAAGGGCGAAGGGATTTGCCCACACATCCACGATAGGAAAGTTCATGTCCGATGCCATGGCGAACCAACCCTCAACTAGTGAGAGCGATATAAATGTCTTCTGCAGTATCTTAGGGTGCTTTTATTGTGCTACAAGCAGCTGGTGTTCAGGTGTTTGGTAGGAGTGTGTGAGATTGTCAGCCTCGGTAACTCCCGACGAGGCTGAAGAGTATACCGAATAAGGCTCGCTGACCCGCAAGGCTACGGTCATTCGCCAACTGCTACACTGCCACACCTCCGAGTTACCTAGGTTCTCGTACCGATTACTCGTACAGCCCCCGAGCGAGTTGGTCCGGCGATGTCGGCCTTGCGGAGCAAAACTGTCTCCGGGATGCCGCTTGCGATGATGTTTTGTCAGCCAGGCTGCTACCCTGGCAATTGAATCTCGCATCTGAGCGCCATAATACCGTCGGGGCAATTGCTGAAGTTTCCACTGGAGATCCAAGTCTGGATCGGATTACTCAGAGATGCACAATCAGCTGGCCTGTGTCCAGTTGCTCCCCAACGTCATGGGCCTCCCGCGAACATTTCAAATGCTCGTCCTCGACTCCAGACTTCACCACCCTCCGATAGTCTAGTTTCTCTTTGCCAGCTAAGCCCGCCGGATCTGCATAGCCGGATCTTGTTCAACAGCATTTTTCTCTATTGTCGTGCTTGAGACGCTGTGCACCTGCAAGGCTTCCAGCCGAACCAGCCGGGCTCCCTTCGTCTTCAGGGGTGTCCACCATGTCCCAAACAGTTACGCAACCTCCCAAAACGGGTAACATGGCTCAGGTAGGCCCTTCTCAAAAATTCAGACCATTTGAGGGAGGGTCCTGACCCTGGATCATTCAGGCCTGCGATCTTTGCCGCTTGAAAAAGAGAAAATGCGATTTAAAAACGGCAGGCGGTAGGTGTTCGGCATGTGAAAAGTCCAAATCGGTGTGCCAGATGACACATGTCACCAAGCCGCGAGAGAAGCGGAAAAAGTTGTTGTCCCTGTCCGTGGAGGAGTACTTGGTCTAACAAGGAGCAGGAAGCAGATGGAGAATCTAGAGGAGCGCCTCAAAAGCCTCGAGGAACTCATCAAAATGTCGGTCGCGGCAAAGATTTCGGAGGGCAGTCTCTCGGAGCGGGTGGACGTTCTGACTCCCTCCTCGCTGCCGTCGACTACATCCCCGACTGAACAAACCTCATATGTGTCAGATACACTTCTGTCAGAAATGGCAGATCATAGTGCCCAGCCGTCGCCTAGCCAGACACTGCTGCAAGCAATCGGCTCCAACCAACTGCGAGGAATAACGAGTGACTTCTCGCAATCACTAAGCAGAGAAATCAACCTGCTGGACACCGAAGTGGCTCAGCAATGGAGCCCAAACTCGGATTCCTCATTTGCCATGCCGGCCCCAGCCCTCGCTACGACTGATGAGGAGCTTCGTCCTCAGGTCCGTTATAATGGGGCGAAGAAGTGCTCATTGCCACCAGTCCAAGGCGGCCTCTTTCTACTGCAGGAATTCCTGGTGGATTTCAATGCCGCGATTCCACTTTTCGACCCTGCTGTTATCACGTCACTGTTCCAGGACTGTTATAACGGTAGAGCCAACGGTAAACCGATTGAGTGGGTTGCGCTCAAGGTAGTCCTAGGCATTGCACACCGCTTGCGAGCAATGAGTCCGTTGGGTGTCCCTCAAGACACGGAGAATGCCGAAATCTATCTGCAAGAATCCCTCGACACTGTTCCGGAATTGCTGGTTTTACGGCCGTCCTTGCTTCTAGCGCAATGTTTTCTCGGCTTGGCTGTGGTGATATCGACTTCCTCGCGACCGTATCCCGCCCAGATGTTTGTCTCCCTGGCCCTGCGCGTCGTCCAGGATCTTCGGGTCAATGATCCTCAAGGAATCGAACCGATTAACGCGGTCGACCGGGTCCAGCAACAACGTGTTTTCTGGATTGCTTATTTTATGGAAGTAGACATGAATCTGAGGGCAGGCAGACTACCGAATCTAACGCCGAGACTGATCAACATTGAATTACCGAGGGATGGCGAGCCGGATGCCGCCGGTGAAATCACTGCTGCCAACGGAGAGTTCAAGGTCAACATCTTCCGACTTCATGTGGAACTTGGTTTGCTCCAGGCCGAATTCGGGGAACAGCTCTCGCTGCCACATACTGCTCCAAAGTCAGATTGTCCAAGCGAGGTCGAGTTACGTTCAATCAATTCACGGCTGGAGGAGTGGCGACGCAACTGGATCTTCGAGCTCGACGCCGAGCATCTACGTGCGGCTCTGCATCGGTCGGATCTGGTCCATTTTGTGGTCCTAGAGTCAACGTATTTTTCGACGACCTACGCCTTTTGGGCACATATTTTGCCAGCGCCTCGGACAAGAAACAATGCATTTTCAGCCCAAGGACTAATCGAGGGAATGTCGAAACAAAAAGCGCAGATTTTGCACAAAGATGCACGGAGATTCATCGACCTTCTGAGGTTGATTCCGGGCGACGACATTGCCTGCAATTGGTGAGTTTGGCAGACACTTCCAGACAAAAGGTCGACTGACAAGATGCTCTGCAGGCTATCGCTAGAAACCATTGTCTCAGCATTAGTGGTCGTGCTTGCCCATATTATTTTCAACCCACTCGACGAAAGTTCCGTGTCGGACTTCGGTGTGTCGCGACATATGCTACAAATCCTGCATCGTTTGAGCAACATCAGCAAAGATGACGGACTGGTTGCCATTCAGAATTTATGTGTAGATCTATATCTAAGGGCCGAGAGAGCATTACAGGGGGACAAACCGCTCCGCCGGTGACAATCCAACAGGCCAACATCAGAACCGCCGACAGCCTCGTACCCTGGACATATTGAATGGATCGACTGATGATGAACACTAGAATGGGTTGGACGACTTTGTACTTATATTTGGCAATATACCCAGGCGTGCTCATGATCTCATATTGTCTTGAATGGTTGTGTCGAGTAATTGCCGGCCAGCTACTTATCGAGAAAGAAGGTCGGCTGTTTCTCGTTAAAGCCTACTTAGCGAGCCGAGAACGGGCGATCAGTGCCACCAAAGCTCCTCCTCATACTCCAACCTAGTTGTCCTTGCTCCGTCTAACCAGCGTGCCAGCTGAACGGGACGATGGCTCTGCTTCCCCGCAAAAGGTGCCATGCGTCCACCCGCGTTGACTAACGATCCTTCCATTACCTTCGCCCTCAGCCTCCAAAACTTTTCTGTCCGTACCAAGTATCATCACTAAGACCTCAATTCTTCGAAGTACTACTCGTAATCGGCATCATCTCCAGAAGCAGCCGGTCCATCCGCCTATGGAGCGCCAATCCGCGCGGGACAAGAGCACACACCGCTGATTATATCAATGCCGCCCGGCCGGATCCAACAGTCTTCGCATGAGAAAGGAGCCTGATGTCGTCCCAAACCAGCTCTTCCGATCCACAGCCCAAGCGCCAGGGGAAGCATGTCACTACCGCTTGTCTCGGCTGTCGCAAACGCAAGATCAAGTGCGACGGTATTAGCCCACGCTGCTCCAACTGTGTCCTCTACGGGCAGGAGTGCGTCTTCCAGCATGGCGTGGATAAGCGAAAGATTGCGCCTAAGGAGAGATTGCAGGCCCTGACGAGCTATTGCCAGCAACTCGAGTCGTTACTCATTGCCAATGGTATAGATGTGCCGCCTCCACCGCCGCTCCATGTTCAGAGCATCGCAGCAGACAGCCAGGCTGCGTCATCATGGCCGGCTGAGGCTTCTCTACCCGAAAGCTTTCCCGCCGGCACCGGCCAGTCCGACTTCGCTGTATCAGAATGGCCTGGTGAGACTTTATGGTGCTTGAAAGTGAAATTGTGACATACTAAGATTGATCCAGGCGAAGACGGAAACGGTGGTCGAAATGCCTCGTTCATGACGGGAAAGCCTCTCGAGGAGGGTTACTTGTATTCTGATTCTTCTCCGGACGTGCCTCAGACCGATAATTCCAACGCCGACTTCAAAGCAACGGTTCCGACCCCCAACGAAGACATTTTGCTAGATCAATTGTCCGGGAGAATGGGCTCGTTACAGATCGCCGAGGACGGCCAGTTACGGTTCTATGGGGCTACGTCCAACTTGCACATCCTCCATAATGGACCCCTGTCCTTGTCACGATCAAAGTTCCGCTCGCCCTCTGAACAAGGCGCGGAATTGCTAAACGGGGCCGGTGTCGGTCATTTTGTCGACGAGAGCCTGGAAGACCACCTCTTGCGACTGTATTTCACCTGGGAGGAGCCTTCGATTCATGTGGTCGACGAGTCCGTCTTCTGGCGTGAACGAATGATCTGCAAAGGCGCAGGTCAAGTTAGTACCTTGTACTCAGAGGTATTGACCAATGCAATGTGAGCGATATCGCCTTACCTGTGCCGGCCCGCATCATATGAGTTACTTGTTGTCTGACCGTCCTCAGGTGTTCTGTCGGAGCGACTCTTACAAACAGGACTTACCCTCATTTGCCTGATCCGCTTCCGGATTTCTTTGCCACTAGGTCCAAATTGCTTTTGGAACTCGAGATGGACGCACCGACTCTATCGACTGTTCAATCCCTGGTTATTCTTAGTGCGGTTGAGGCCCTGCTGACAAGGGATGCCCGTGGCTGGCTTGATAGTGGTATGACAAGGCTCGGCGGTAGTGAAGTGCTTGACACTAACGCGGCCACGTAGGAATGGCAGTCCGACTCGCTGTCGATTTAGGCCTTCATCTTGATCCTGAACCATACGTCCAGGCCGGTCTGATCACCTGTGAAGAAGGGATGATTCGAAAGATAATATGGAGCGGTGTCTTCGTTCACGACAGGTATTTATGTCTTCTTCTGTCAGGCTGGGGTAGTTGAATGACCGGTTACCAGGATGTGGAGTCTATACGTTGGCAGACCCGTCGCACTCGATGACAAGCATATTACTGTGCAGTTCTCTGCGGAAGAAGCCAAGGCGGGTCGGGTTGCGAGGTACTGGTCTCCTTACGACGACAACGAGACCTTAGACTTGCCTCGGATGATGGACTCAATCGACGAACTGGGCATCTGGAACGTGAAATTATGTGCGCACATGACCGCTATCAGAGAGACGCTGTAAGTTGCTCCTTCGGCCATGAACAAGTGCCTCTAACGCCACTCAGGTACCCTGACGCGATGACGGGTCCGACCAACGCCAGACAGCTGTTTCAGTTTGCAAACCAAATGCGTGACAAGTTGTTGGGTTGGCAGAGAAGCCTCCCGCCCAGCTTGGCTGTCAATAACCTGGACAAAAGAGCACTATACCTTCCACACGTACTCCAACTCCAGTGAGTAGACACACTCGTTTATCCCTGTTCGATGCAGCTGATTCCTCTTAGCATGCAATATCATAGCATCATGATCATCACGTTCCGCCCGTTCTTTGCCTCTGTGAAGACTCTGCCGGGTCTAACTACTGCTGAAATTGCGGCCGGCCGCAACCATTGCACGACCTCGGCCAATTTCGTGGCGAAGCTGATTCAGACCTATCGTCGCCAGTATAGTCTCAGAAGGATCAATGTTCAGGCCGTCCACCTCGTTTTTACGGCGACGTTGATCCATGTTTTCACCGCCTGTGCGGCAACAGATCCGGTTCGAAGCAACAGCGCGTGGAAGAATTTGGAAACCTGTTGTCAAGCATTGAGTGAACTGGGACTTGCCTTCAAGAGCGCTTCAAGAGCACTCGAGGTCATCATGGGCATCAAGAGTGATCTCCTCCGCAGGTCGAAGTCAAACATCAAGCGACAGAATCCGTGGGGCGACGCTCCAGAGGCTGGGCCTGCGCCAGCAAAGAAGCGGCGGCCCACAAACGCCGAGAGCGATCTATTGCAGACACACCAATCTCCTCAGAGCCAGGGCAGCTCCGATTTTGGCCTCAACCTAACCGAGGCTGACCCTGCATTCAATTTTTTCGATACCTCGTATGACGACTTTTCCCTCGAAACTCTATTCTGGGGTGGCTACACCAATCTTGAACTGCCTCATTTCCCACCTCAAGAACCATGAGACCCACCAAAATATACTACCCCTATTTTCAAGCCACCCGGTCTCGTACAGACCGGGTCGAATGATGTCCTTCTACAAGCAGGCAGGCCATCTGCTCCGGGCCAAGCATCCAGCATGAGGTTATTTTACGAAGGATCAACGTTTAAGCCTTCCGCGCTACAGCTGACCGGCATGCACGCCGCCGGTAACAAGGACATCGGTGCCGGTCGTGTACGCTGCGGCATCGCTAAGAAGATATCCGACGACGCCCTTGAGATCGGCTCGATCACCTATTCTCCCCATTGGCGGTGCAGATTTGAAGACCGTCAGCAATTCAGGCCTTGTGATGGCCAGCCCTTTGGTCATCTCCGTGGCGATGAAGCCAGGGGATACCGTGTTTACTCGGATTCCCAGAGGGGCAAGCTCCACTGCCAGCTGGACGCAAAGGGACTTGACGGCACCTTTGGAGGCGGCGTATATGTTGAGTCTCTGGGTTGGCAGGGCAGATACAGCAGAAACCGATGCTATCATCACGATGCTCCCGCCAGTGTTCTGGGCTCGCATTTGTTTGGCAGCCAATTGCGCGCTGAGCATGGTGCCCATCACCTGAAACAATGTCAGCGGTCTTTCCGGTGGTGGAAATGTCCCAACGCACATTGACTTGTAGGATCCTGGCCCCTTCATCCCAGGTTGTGTCAAGGAATGGTTTATCATGGACAATGCCAGCCGCGGTGACGCTACAAGCGTGGTTAACAATGTCCACTGCCGCAAAAGTCTACCTTACCAGTTGTCTATCCGACCGAAGTCCTTCGCCACAGCTTCGAAGCTTCGAGTCAGGCCGTCCGGGTCTGTGACGCTTGCTCTACAAACACAACAAAAGTTAGCCGAGGATCCCCCATTGCTCACAAGCGGAGGCAGACATACCGATAGTATTTGGCCGTCACGCCTAGTTCCTTCTCGAAATCGAGAAAAGCGTCAGATGGCTTTTCGAGGATATCGAGAACGGCGACATCGCTTCCTAGCTCGGCAGCACCTCTGGCCAGAGCTAATCCAATGCCCCGTGCTCCCCCTTTGGCTATTCAGCGACAAGACGCACTTTAGTCTCGACCACACACTCACCAGTCACGACGGTGACCCTGCCTTTCAGAGACATCAAGTCCTGTATCGACCTGGCCCGGTAGGCATCTTCGCTGGACGCTCCGAGCTTGGCTGCTGGGGCTGTGTTCTCTGTTGACATAGCTCGAGTTTGGTGAGCAGCGTTCCTCTGAATGGCGCTCGATGTTTGCGTTAAGAAGGGCTTCGGCCTCACAAGTCTGGGCAGGGATGCCGGCCGGAGTTTGCGCAGAGCTCGAGCTCCCGTGAACTGCTGTCCAAGGTGCATTTTCGATGCTATCCACCCTGAGCTCATGACCACGGAAGCGAACCTACGCCTCGGGTAAGACGTCAAGATACGGATGGCACTTTACTTGCCAAAAGTGTCGTTCTCGTGAGAAATATCGAGCTGCAGGGCTCCGACTTACCCAAAAGATGTACTCTTAGTCACGATGGACCAGAACGCGACCGGGAGAATACGGTCTACCTCTACGATGCTAACTTTGTCTCATATTGTCCGTGAGAGAATCGAGTTCCCCGGGTTTCGATTCCCGCACCAGGATGCGGGGGTGGGTTAGTATTCATTGTTGTGGACCAATCATAGGCTGTATTGAAGGAAAAGTGGGGTCAGGGCTCGGCATCAATCGTGTGGGGTACTCGACATACATAATCAGGGCATACGCTCTCAACGCGATTGCTTCGGCATTGTCCATCAATCTTCACTCAGCAAGTCGCCCATCATGATGTTCCTCAAATCTGTCAAAGGTCGAACTCTCTACCGGATAATGAGCATTTGTTGCTCACTGGTAAGCATGCCAAGCCCGACCCGCGTCCGCCTCCTGCTCATACAAACCAGTCCTTCTGCATGTACGGCTACGACGCCGGCGTCCTTGGAGGCATCCAGACCACAAAACCCTTCCTCGACGCGATGGGCCATCCGACTGGTACATACGTCATCCCCATGATTGCGTCCTCGTACACGCTAGCGGCCGCCGTGTGCTCCTTGGCCGTCACCGTCCTCGGGATGCCTCTGGGACGACGAGGGTGTATCCTCATGGGCGATGCCCTTGTCATCGTTGGAGCCAGCATCCAAGCCTCTTCTTGGTCGGTTGCTCAGATCATTGTTGGTCGTGTCCTTTGCGGGTTCGGCATCGGATTCATCTCCTGCAGCGTCCCCACATACATGGCCGAGATGAGTATCACATCCAAAGAACGAGGTCCTGAGGTCGCCGTTCAATGCGTCTGGTTGATAAGCGGGGTTGGGGGAGCCTACTGGATGGATTTTATCTTCACAAGGATGACGAACCAAGTGACATGGCGGTTTCCAATTGCCTTTCAAGCATCTTTCGCCACCATCTCCATCATCGGCATGTTCTTCTTACCCGACACGCCCAGGTGGTATTACGCCAAAGGCCGCGTCGCAGAGGGAGACAGCGTTGTCATGCGTCTCCATGATCGGCCAATGGAAGACCCTGCCGTCCAGGCCATGCGAAATGAGATCCTGGCCTCGATCAAACTCGAAGAGGAGGACGAGCATAAATTCAACCCCCTGGATCTCTTTTGGGACAGAAGCGACCTGAGAGCAGGCCGCCGGATCAGGATATCCTTCATGATCCTCTCCATTCAGCAGATGATGGGTCCGTCTCTTGTCCAATCAGTTGGTGGCCCCTCTTGCTAACCCACGTACACAATAGGCATCAACCTGTCCGTCTACTATTCAACGGTCATCTTCTCACAGGTCGGACTGTCTTCTTTCCTCTCCCAGCTCCTCGCTGCGGTAATGAACACCGGTTTTGCCTTGGGAACATATCCCTTGCCCTGGACGATCGAGCGATTCGGCCGGCGTGCCGTTTTGATCTGGTCGGCGGTCGTCTTGACAATCTGTATGCTCGTGTTCGTGATTATGATCGGCTTGCCGCATCCTACCCTAGCAACACAATGGACGGCTGTGGCGTTTGTGATCATCTACAACTTTGTGTTTGGCTATGGCTGGATTGGAGTTCCTTGGTTATACGGACCTGAGGTGAGTCTAGCCAACACTGTGAAGCGCACGAAGATGTCCTCTTTATCTGGGCTTCTGGAAGAACACAATAATGGTTGATCTTGCTGACCTGGCGGATTTTGAACAGATCGCACCACTCAAACTGCGTCACCTCGGTGGCGCTGCCGGTGCATTCGGCGAGTGGCTGTTCAGCTTCATCACCGTCTTCGCCGGGGGCATCGCGCTGCAGAACGTTGGCTGGAAGATCTGGATCTGGATGCTCTTGTCCTGCGCGGTCGCCGTGCCGTTTGTGTATTTCATGTGTCCCGAGGTATGTCGTCTTTCCCTGATCGCTCCTCCATCCCACCCATCTACATCTACAAAAACAACATCAGCCCCACAGCCCATTCCTTCCCTCCCTCTCTCCCACATCTTCTTTCCTCCTCTCCGTTCTCCTACCCATTTGCACGATCATTATATACTCCTGCTCTAGAGCTTTGTTCTGACCTGAGCCGCCCTTATTTGGGCCGGCACCGTACAGACCACAGGCAAAACCCTCGAAGAGATCGACCTGATCTTCGCAAAGCCCGAGATCAGGGACTCGGCGCTCGCGGCGCGCACGATCCACGACCGCCACGCCGAGGAGGTCCGGAACAAGGAGCACGTCATCCAGTACGAGGAGAAGGAGGACGCCTGAACGGGACGTCGAATAGGCGGGCACGGGTGAGGCGAGGCAGCTTAAGGCAGTGCAACCCAGGCTGCTTCGATCTCTCAGGTGCCTCTTTTGCAGGATATACCTTGCGGAACTTGTGGGAGAAATGGGGCTAAAAAAAAAGTTCGCCCAAAATCATAAGCCAAACGACAGTCGCGACCGGCAAAGTCGAAAAGCAAACATAGGCGTGGGATAGGGAGTGAGAAACGTGTATAGATCCATCTATAGATACAAGTCCAAGTCTAGACATTTGATACCGATTCATAATCCAAAGAAGAAGAGAGAGATAAAAACCACGCTTAAACGTGTCCTGTCATCTCGTGTCGAGTTCTTTCATAGCATGTATTCAATGGTGCCAGTCTCTATTCGATCCTGTTCCGTGGTCCCACCGTTCTGTGCGCCATATGCGGTAGACTCTCTCCTGCGCCACCTCCTCTGCTGGTCCTGCTCTTCCTTCTGCGTGGGCAACTCATTTCATTCGTCCATTCATTCATCGACCACGAGATGGTATCTTCAGAAAGATTGAACACTCCAGCACTTGAACTCAATGATACCGACATGACGGTACTAGTGACACCTCGTCCTGTCTCCAGCCCTATTCGCCTGCCGAACTACCCCCACCTAGCTATCTATATATGCTTGCGACGCAACCACGTTATCGAACCACTTCGAACCACTTGGCCGCGCCCAATCCACGAGGAAGAAGGTGCGGAAGATCCGACGGTATTCCGGCCACAAGGACGTGCGAGCAGGCGAAGTCCTCGGATCAGAAGGAGAGTCGACTCCACCACCTGTTCTTCTCGGCGACCGTTCTCGCTCCCGGACGTGCTGCGCAAGACGGCGCTGGAACCACTGGTCCCTGGTCCAGCTCCTGCGGTGGTCGATCACCGAGTGCCGCGACGGCGACGACGGCGACGACGGCGTCTTCCGGCGCTCCTCGAAGGCGCCGAGATAGTAGAGCCAGGCGTGCGCGTCGCGGTACCGCCGTTTCTCGTGCGCGGTCGCGACCGAGGCGGTGAGCTCCAGGACCGAGCGCAAATGGCGCATGATCCCGGGCGACGCGTCGCGGATGTCTCGCCCGTCGATCGTGGCCTCGTGCCCGATCGCGCGGACATAGTACAGCAGCCCCAACGCTAGGCCGGCCTGGGTCAGGCGCTCTCCTGGAGACGGTGGGATGGGTGGTGGTGGTGGTCCGCCTCCTCCCCCTCCTCCTGCCACAGAAGACGAGCCTTCACGCCATGGCGGAAGGATGTTCTCTCGCAGGTCAAAGTACATCTGGAGGACCTTGCACATGAGGTACTCGCTCTGCGTGACGAACCAGGCGAAGGCGAGTTGCTTCTGTTCTGGGGGACCCCACGCCTCGTCTGACACTCGCAGGCCGTCTTCGCAGAACGCCGCTTGGTGGCGCGAGGTTATGAAGAGGCGCCGCAGCTCGGGGATCTCGATGGCCGCGTTGATGCTGGCAAAAACCGGCTCGGGGATAGGGGGCAGAAGCTGCTCGGCCACGGCCCAGATCGGCTCGACGATGGCACGGTACCAGTCCGGGTCGAAGTGCGTCCGCCGCATCACCTTCGAGGCGTCGTCGCAGTCGTCGTTGATGGCCTGGATAATCATCAGGTGGTCCACGATGCCGTCGTTCAACCCTTGCATCATGCTCCGCGCCAGCACCTTGCCGTGGACGGCCACGGAGGGGCTGTTGTCGGAGAACACGGCTGCGCGGAAGAGCCAGAAGACATGGGTGATGAGCCCCTGGTTCTGGAGAAGGACCCTCTTATCTCTTCCTCTGCCAGCGCCAGCGATATTGTCCAACGACTGCCGCAAGAGCTCTGAGCTCTTGGTCGCGAGAATCAAGGCCTGTCTGCTCATCTTGAGTCGTCCGTCCTCCGGCATCAAGATGGCCATGTTGTGGAGAAAGCTCGCGATACAGGCCAAGGCCTGGCCCTCTGAGTTGAGGCTGCCGGTGGCAAAGCCCCAGCCTTGCCTCGCGGTCTGCGCCGGCAACCAATTGCTATCATGCAGCACGTCGATGGGACCGTGAGAATCCCCGTATAGTCTGCGGAAGAACGGGTTGAAGTATAGGTTCGGAAAGAGCGCCTCTCGCATGAACGTCAAGACTTGGTTCACTAGCGGTGTCACGGCCACTGGAAAAGTACTGAAAGGGTCCGAGTGGCCCTTTAGCATCACTACCGGCGGTATTGGGAGTCTCTTCTCGGCCGAAGGAGCAGACTCATCGGTAGAGCCAGACTTGGCGGTGCTCCTGGAGTCGAAGTTGGTGCTGGCACTAGAGCTGCTTGTATGCTGCTGCTGCTGCTGCTGCCGCCGCCGCGGCACATGCATCCTGTAGATGGCTTGCGTTCGTGGTGCCGATTGAAGAACGGTATGACTCGGAGGTATAGTTGTCCTTGCAGAGGAGCCACGCATGGCTCGATTCTTCCCATGACGACCAACGCGAGCGGCATGTGATCGTCGTTCCTTTTCACCGAGGCCGTGATCCTGCTGCGATTGACCCGGCCTGCTCGCGAAGATGAACTTAATGGTGCCGTCGCTCATGGTGGGTCTGCAGTTCTTGACAGTCAAGTGTTCATATGCCGTTTGGGATGGAAACTCGGTCTGATGGCCCTGTCTCTGTGTCAAGAGGCTACGCTCACGAATTCCAGGTCAGTCCCAGCACGACTGATACATGTTTGTCAAAGACACATCGCAGTTCTCTTCGGGGCGCCGACATGGTCGGACAAGTCATATACTATGAAAAGTTAGTTGCCATAATTCTGTTTGGAATGAAAGCTGTATCGCGGACGGCACGGCTAGATTGCACCGTTCCATATGCCTCTCGATGGCGCTCATTTCGTATCTCAGCAGGACTTGGCTCATTCAAGGACTGGATGGAGATCTTGCCGGGCGGCTTTGGGTCGCAGGCTAAATGGATGGGATACGAACCGATCCAACCAGGCCAAAATGGACAATTTCCCAACCGGGCCAGCCATCAGGACTGATAGATGTGATCCTGGCGGCGGGGTACCGAGTTGCCCCAATGCACAGATACCCGTCCAAGAAAGATCATGATCTCGAACAGGGCCATTTGTCAAGCAACGATGACACAGGGATGAGCCGAGTGCTGTACCAGGGGTGGTTATTGCCTGTTGGTGAACGGACGACAGATCCGAAGCTCACGAGTTGTCGAACAGGCCTCTAGCGAGAAGGAGCAGATTGTTGCTTGGTAGCGAGACGATCAACCATAGCCCGAAATGGAAAACGGCTCTTCCTGGTTTGGACCATGGGGGAGACTGCCGAATTGCCGAAGAAGCGCCTGGTGACCAGGTATCGAGTCAGTAGCACGACTTTTGGGCCGTTGGCTCGACTATGAAAGACGACCTCCCGACGAACTGCCAGATGACGAATCCGTACGGAGCCCTGACTGTGCGGTCTATTCCCTTCCCTTGTGATGGTTAGTACGCTCTTCTCACATTTGTGCGTCAGAAAAGCAGCGCGGATTGATGGATTTGATAATTAAACCCTTGTAAACATGTGTTATATATCCTTTACTCCTTCGCAAAAGGACAACGTGATCTGACTCATGTGGAAGGTGATTGTTCAACAGCTCTGACGCGATATCACTCCCCCTAGGATGGTTTGCCATTTCCACTAATCCAGCCATCTGTGGAATCTCGCATAGTTAGTTAGTATCTCAACAAACAGAGAGTCCAACATCGGAGTTGTCTGGGCCAGATACAGGTTTCCAGTAGGGCAGAGAAACTTACGTGTGCGATTTGCTACATCGCAGACATAGTCCGGGGTACCAACGCTGGCAGGGTCGCAAAGATCACCGCTCTCGGCGATACTCCCCGAATTGTATATCCGCAGCGCCTCGTAGACGTTCCCGTTTTGCTGTTGTAAGCATTGTTGGAAATGGGTAGCGCCCGTCTCAAGCATGGAAATGACATCGTCTAGGTTAGGTTCTGCGTCCTGGGAGGAGAAGAGAAGAGCACATCATCTATTAGCACAGTGACAATACCAACTTGGCACGTAAGGGTTCTTTTCGGAGTGCTGGGCACATTTGGCGCTATCGCTTACCGACGTGTCCAGACCCTCACAGCCAGAACATTGCATGAGGCCCCCTGTAGGCTCGTGGTCCGCATCGTAAGTGGTCTACGGAAGCCATTTGTCAATGGGAGTCCGCAAAGATCCTTCCAAGGGTATAAATCATCTTGGGACAGGGGAGAACTTGCCTGGACGAATAGATTCCCTGTACTTTCTTGCATGATGATGCACAGCAGCAGGTATGATTCGACGCCAGTCGATTGGCTGACGTGCTGAATTGCCTGATCAATCTGAAAACAAAGTCAACAGAGTGCGCCCGAAACGAATATGTCAGGAGCTAATCTGCCGAGCAATTGCTCGTAGGTGCGATCCGTCAAGGGTTGTATTCACCAAAGTGGAATAGTCATTGCCATCCTCGTGCTGTTCATTAGCTTCCTGTATGGTGGGCTCAAATGCATGCCACAAATCCTCATAAGCACAAATATGATCATCGAAGGGAGCGAACGACGAGGCCGGCCCGTGCTGATCGTAGTAGTGTGGATCAATGGGAGCGCCGCTGCCAGACATGGTACATCAGTGGTACGTCAGTGGGAATAGTTCGCGTGTTTGCAATACAATGAAACCAAGTGCTTGCTTTGTAGAAGCCATTTTCACGACGGTTGGAATCTCTCACGGAGCCCTACCTTTATATAAGATCAAGCTTTATCCGTTCCTGGGATCGATCAGAAAATAGTGCTCGACTGGGGATTCAGAGATGTTAAGAATGGCGGAGGATCTTAGCATCGGCCCCAGTAATATGTAATCAGATAGTTATATATATATATATATATTTGGCCCAAGCCAGCTCGAACAGGCGAAAGCCGCTTTCCACGTGAGACTGAGGGATCTGTGGACGAGACGTAAGCCGGTGCACGAGCGTTGGTAAGCAGAATGCTGGGGTTGTTGGGGTTGTTGGGGCTGTTACTTGACGCCACAATACTGCCTGATATATCACACCTGTTTCGCACTCTCAAGAATATACAGTACAAGTCCACGATTAAATAGCCCCCAGTCTTGCGGAGTCAAAACCACAGGTCAGCCGGTCTCATGTCGGCGTCGTCTGCCCGCAAACCTACTGTTTTTTTCGGCGTTCCAGCGTGGTAGCACTCATTTCCCCGTTTTGTTCGTCCTTTTGTGTGGTTTTGCTGACGTTCACACCACTTTGAGGATTGGGATCAGCGAATATAGATAGCTACTCGAAGACCTAGACCAAGCGGTGAATTTAGAGTTGGCTTGGCACAATGAATGCAAGACTTCCAGTGGCTTTGGATGAGCTGGGTGACGGGACTAATATAGACGCCTTGCCGCTTTCTGCACGAGCCGGCCTTCTGGTCATCGTAGATGCTGCTATCCTTGGATGTATGGGATGCATCTCTGCAGCCGCGGAGTGGTGGAGGGAAGTACACCGCGACCTAGAGCAGGTAAAACGAAGCACGATTTTCAGGCATGATATTGGCCGATTTACTGGCGCGTGGACACTTTCGTAATTGTAGTAAGTCTTTATTCCCTCTCTTTCTTGTAGCTCACAACCTTGCCATCATTTATACCAACTCGTTGCGGGACATCGCCTTCATTAACCCGTCTGCAGGCGTGCATGTAGTGCTCATATAACATCAGTGACATCATTGACATCTTCAAGATTGTACTGGCCCATCTTCCTAGGTGGAACTCGGTGCTGGAACAAGAAATCAATCTCCTGAAAGGTGCGGCCTTTCAGCTCAGGGATGTAAAAGTAGCTCCAGATGGTGCCCAAAAGACAGGCGCCACCAAACACGAAGCCTACTTTTCCCTTCAAATTGGCCTTGTCTGGATTGACCATGTAAGGCACCACAATGTTCATCACCGTGCCAAATACGGCTTGGCACGCAGTGGCCAGTCCGACCGTCTTTGCTCGAAGTGAGGGAGTGGAGACCTCACCGAGCAAAGCGAACGCGATACAGCCGATGGTGATCTGGTAGATGAGCGCGTAGACAACCGTGCAAGAGGCTTGAACCCAGCGGGCAGCCGAGGTGTGGACGACATCGAGAATACCCATCAAGACGAGGACGATGGTCATGCCGATCATGCCCCAGACAAACAACTTTCTCCGACCCAGTGTATTGATGGCGGCCCAAGAGATCATGACGCCAACCACACCACAGGCTGTGACTCCCACGCCTAGGTCGAAAGCGTCCTTGGTCTGGATACCGGCAAGCTCGAAGAAGTAGGTTGAGAAACCCAGTACGAAAACAATCCCCGAGAGATGCTGGCAAGCAAAGACACCGACCGAAATGGTTGTTCGCACGAGGTTGGTGCCACGGAAGCATTGGTCCCATCTTGCAGACTTGGACAATTCAGCGTCCTCTTCGACGGTCCTGATAATCATGGCCAGCTTTGGTGACACATCAACATCCTTTCCGTGCAGACGCTCCAGAGATCGCCGAGCATCTTCCATGCGGCCGTGACGAACATAGTGCCATGGAGACTCGGGTGCGAATGGGAGTCCGACGAGAAGAATGGCTGGTCAGGCTTGTCAGACATGGACGTTCTTTGCAAGTCAGAGGTATGAATATCCTTACCGACAAACAACCATTGAATGGCAAAAGGCCCCCGAAAAGCCCAGCGGTCGGTCCTGTCCCCGAATCCTTTGATAACGGCATTCGACAAGAGCTGCCCAATGACAATGGCAAAGTTGATGCCGCCGGTGATCATACCACGAAGAACAACCGGCGCCACCTCGGAGCAGTAGAGAGGGCCGATGGTCAAGTAGAATCCAAGGCCGACCCCAAGAATCAACTTGCCGATGAGGAATGCCGGTCTGGTGGTCGAGAAGACCTCGCCGAAAATACCACCAGTGACAAAGCCCAGCCCTATGAGGAGAGAGTACCGACGGCCGATGCGGTCAGAGATCCAGGAGCACATGAAGCCACCAAAAAATTGGCCGACGCTGGAGATACTATTAAAGCCGCTCTGCCAGCTCGCAGGGATCACAGGTTGCCCTTTGTAGATATAACTACCCAAATGATATTAGCCTCGGAGTCGTCACAAAAAAGAAGGCGCTGTGATCGGGCACGCCGCAGACTTACCCGAATGTATACCGAAACTGTGGCACCGAGATCATGGCGCCGTTGACTTGTGCGTCGAAGCCCCTGGCAAAAGTCGGTCAGACGTCAGGTAATCACTTGGACGGTAGTTACTTGGGGATGTCGATGACACTTACCAACCAATGCAGCTGAAGGCAAAGAACACACACCAGAAAACGACGTTCTTGTTCTTGGAAAGGGCCTCCCAGACCGAGAGACTGTGTTCTTCTTCAGCGGCTGCTCGAGCCTGTTCGATCTTTGGGGCCACATGTTCAATGATTGAGTCGATAGCCTTGGCTTCGTGGTGGTCGTCAATATTGACTTTCTCCATGTTAGCGGACTTGAGTGTTCGCCCTGTTGCAAGGAGGATGGTTGTGGAAGAGTCGAGAGAGATTGCCACCTGATCACAGAAATTCGGACTTCAACCGCAGAGGGGACGGCGGGCTTTATGTCTTGTTTCCATCCTTCGTGTGATGCAGGTTTGGATCATGATGCATGTTCTGGAAGTCCCATCCAACCCCAGATCCGTCCTCGAGAACTCCGTACTGCGTAGAGGTCGATTTCGTGCATTCCGGGATTCCGCAGATTTTCTCATGGGGGGATTTTGCCTGCGGAAAGGAGGGGAGGCTGGCACCAGAGAGTTTGGGTAGCACTGGGGAGACATCGAAGGAGGCGACGGACATGGGATGGCATGGTGGTGATGGCTTTACCCCGCCGAGCCCGGCCATGATCCTTGTGGCATGACCCGACCAGTCGTTTGAGTCAAATGATGGCTCAGAGCGGTAAAGTAGTGTTGCAATCACACACACCAGGGTCCGGAGTAGCAGTTGGCAGGCTGCTTATTGAGTGCGCCCTTTCATCTGGATTGATACAGAGATCGTATCTCCTCATGCGGTGAGGTAAGGTTTTTCGGCTGCCAAAGCGCAGCCAGAGCGCAGCCAAGGGCTTCTAGAAGGGCTGGGCGCAGTTACGAGCGAGGCCCTTTCCGAGGCTCCCTAGGCCCTCCTTGATGGGTTGGCCTATCAAAGCCTAGCGGGCGTTGGTGACGGTGGTGCCATCGCCCCCCAACACCCGTCTTGGGGGCCCCCTGTTGGGTGTCGAGGCACTTAGTAGCTTTACTGGTCACCCCCCTTCTCCCCCCCCGCAACAAAATGTGTCTTCTGCGACCGTGCTCTCCTTCTCCAGCACTCCGCTGACGGCCTTTATCACTCCCCGGCATTCCGCTCATCCAACTTCCCATCCTCCTCTCCAGAGTCCAGTATCACTTCCCCAGATCTTCAAACCCCAGTTGTCCCGGTGGAGCAAAAGCTCACTCCTGATATCGGCAATGCAAATGGAAAGCTCGCTCCGCAACCTTCTCCATTCCAGCGAGCCTGCTTATGATTCCTCGTCTCTCCATACTGGCCATTTGCCGGCAACCATCCAGCAAAATGGCCCTTTTATCGGCACAATGGAGGCTGAAAACGTCCTGAACGACTCCCGGAAGCGTCCTGCCACGCGGATAAAGTCGTCCTATCCGCGAAAAAGAGCCATCCAAGCCTGCCAGAAGTGCAGGGTTCGCCGAACAAAATGCAATAACGCTCGGCCGACCTGTTCTTCCTGCTTGTCGATTGGCGCCGAGTGCACATATAGCGAAGGAGATCATTCTACGTATGTCTGTGCGGCGGCACATCTTCGGACGTGCTAGATGATGACGACCCTCTTCTGACCGTCGCAGCTTCGATTCCGCGAGTCTGGCAATTTTGGACAAGTTGAACACCATCGAGGAGCTTCTGAGAACGCCCAATGCCCGGGCCCAGGTCGTCCCCTCAGCCCCCAGCAATGCGGCCGACAGCCCCAGTCGTGGAGTCTTGTCCCGGCTAAAATCGCTGAATTCACCCAGTCTCGAGAGGTCCAAGGATGCCGCCCCTTGTCACATGAACATTGAAGGAGTCCTGTCGTGGTCTGTCTTTGATGATGTTAGTCCTAACCTGGACCTGAAAGGACTTCTCAACTCCAGTCATGGCGCCTCACAAAACCTGTCAATCGTGTCGGACTTTGATGAACATGTCGCAGAAGAGGAGCTAGTGGCAAGGTTCATGAACAATGTCTTCATCTACAATCCGGTCTTGGAGGAAGCCAAGATTCATCGATACATGCGTGATGCTCGCTTCAATGGCATCGGGTGGGATGCACAGTCTTGCTTACTGGTGAGATGGCTCTCGGAACAAAGATTCTCGTCAATGTTGCTAACTGTCATTGTTGCCTTCAGCTCCTGATATATGCTCACGGCTCGATTGTTGGGCCTTTTGACGGTGGACAACAGCAAGATGCCTCGTCATTCCGGTCGTCTCCGCAATTCAAGCAGGCAGAGTCCTACTTCTCCGCCGCCCAGAAAAGGATGGGTCACCTTCTCTGCCGAACAGGTGTGTTGGAAGCGCAATGTTTCTTCCTCGCAGGAGTGTATTTGATGGCAACACTACGTCCAATGGAGGCGTGGAAAATGTTTGTCCAGGCTCTCGCCTGCTGCCAAGCGTTCTACACGGAGAAGGAGTCCCCAGAGGCCGACAGGGAAGGGGAACAGCGTCTGCGGGAAAGCATCTACTGGACTTGCTTCAAATCCGAACTGTGAGTGGAACGTTCACACCGGGCGCACCGTTCTCGTTGTACAATGCTGACCCCCAGCCAGCGAACTCCGCCTCGAACTGAACGTTTCCGAGACCTCGATCTGGGACCTCACCTACCCGGCCTTCTTTCCATCTCCGCCCGAGGGTCTCCGATCCCAACGAGAAATAGTGTGGTATTTTTATCTTGCCGAAATCGCCCTTCGACGGCTCGGCAACAGGATTCTCAACTTCATCTATGATAGCAAAGCCACGAGTTCCCTATCGAATGCAGCCGAGTCGACCATTGGATTCGAACAACAAGCCGCAGACTGGATCCGATCGCTGCCGCAAGCACTCGACCTCGAGGCGCCATCGGTCGGGGAGGAGAGTGACTTGCACCACTCGCTCAAATTCATCCTGAAAGGCCACCTTCTCGACTGCTACGAAATGATGTATTGGCCCTTTATTGTCGCGGCGGTGAACTACGAGACTCCCGAAAGGACGCCGACGATCTCGACCGAGTCGATGGACTCGTTCGTGCACAAGGCGCTGGTCGTTTGTGTGGAGAGGATCGAAAAGAATGAACAGGGCTTTTTCTATCGCCACCACGGGACTTGGCTGATGCTGCGGTCCTGCACGAGGAGTGCACTTGTTCTTCTCGGGGCAGCCAGACTGGAAAAACTAACACTTTTAATGCCAGATCGCTGGCGAGAAGCGGTGGAAAAGGTGATCGAGATGTTGAGATTCTGGAGGCGGGAGAGCAGAGACGTTGAAGACCGGCTGCGAGTCGTGGAGACGCTGCTTGCCGGTCTGACGTTCAACGATTCACGTGCATTGTGAGCGCAGTTGTGCAATATTTCAGTTTTGTTCATGATACCATCATAAGTCTGGCGCTGTTGCATTATACATATCCATCATGGCATGACGAGGTAACCAAAAATGCATCGCCTGAAATGCGGGTTGGCGGAACCACGTTCAAGCATCCACCTCTCGAACCTTGTATTCGAACATTCCATTGGACGGTATTCTGTTCTTGTCGAGCATTTTCATGGAAGTTTCGACACCAGCCGCAGGTACTCGGTACTCGAACTTTTTGCCTGGTCCCGGCTTCGAACCGTCCGGGAGCGGGTAGGGATATGGGAGATATTCTGGCATGAGGCCCAACTGGATCAAGAGCGAGGCTTGGTCCCAGGCGATATGCTCATGATACAGACGATCGCCCCGGACGCAGACAACGGATGTGCAGGGAAGTTCAACTTTTCGTCCTGTTGGAGGGATGCCGGGAGCTCTGCCAACAACAGGTAAGTTCTTCGGGAATCCAATGGACGTGGGCACGGGGTCTTCTTACAGCCAGTCGATTTCCATATCGTGCGTAAACTTGGCAACAAACTCGTCACAGACGCGATCAATCCCAATCGTTCGACTCACAAGCAGGAGCTCCATGTCCTTTGGGTTTTTGGGGATGAAATTGTTGCGGTAAAAGTTTGTCAAGCTCGTTCTGCCGATGCCGCCAGTCATCTGCATGCCCCCAGACAGTCAGCAGCTGGATACAAGCAACGGTGGAAGACCCAACAGGACATATCCGTACCGTGGTAATGTGATTAACGTAGGGCTCTTGCACCATGGTCGCCATGGTTTTGGGCACAGAGCGCTCTGCAAATTCAAAGTAGGTATGCTCCTCCCAGATTGCCTCGAGGTCGAAATCCAAGCCACGGACGTACTTTTTCAGAAAAGTGAGGTTCCGGGTATGCGAGACGGCTTCGTTGGTGCTGTCGAATTCCGGTTGACCTGGTACCACGAACTTGGAAGACTTGACCGAAGGGTAGGTGTAGATTTTGGCACCGGGGTGCGAGTCTGCCTTTTCGTGTCCCGCGAAATGACAGAGCCTAGGTATCGCGAGCGGTGTGATTAGGTCCCCAGCGGTGCCATAGATGACCGCCGCCGCAATCTTAGGTCCAATGGCTGCACTGTGGCCAAATTCATTCCAGAGGGCAGTGTCGTAGACTTGAAAGGCTATTGTTTAGTCCCGAGGGGGGGCCTTTGAACAGAGGGATGACGATGGAGGGTTCGAGGGGGCCAGACTCACCAACCATTCCGACTCCATCGTTGAAATCGCACTTTTCACACGCCTCCAGTGCAGCGAGAGCCTTTGTGAGAATCTGCGTCGTCGCCGTGGATGAGCCCTGAGTCAACTCTTCGCCTCGAATCTCCGCCACTGCAAACCCTTCTTCCGCCCACTTTAGCAGAGGAGGCGGGATGCCATCCTCGCACACGACACCGCCGTCCCTGTAGCGTGGCGCGCCCGCCGGCAACACGAGGATCAGTCCTGGCCCATGGCCCTTGCGAGACAGCGGCGACAACAGTGAGATGTGATCAGAGACTTTGACCAGTTCGGCAGTTGGGAGAGAAACTTGCTCTTCGGCGGCAGCGATTGGTTCGGCCATGGCCGTCTGCGTTTCCTGCTACCTGGAGAGCAGGGGAGATGTGCTTGGGTGAATATATAGTGAATATGCTCCTTTCAAGCTTCAGACTTATCGAGATTTTTCTAAGATGGCCAGGCCCAGCTGCAAGGGAGAGAGCTGTGTCAAAACTGAAGGGTTGGTGGGTGGACGAGTGCGAGTGCGCGGACCGCAGCGGTTGATAAGGCGTTCAGCCTCGCTCGGCATTTTGTCTGGGCAAAAACGGATCATGGTTCGATCAGATGATGAAGGTTCCAATGTTACCGTAAGATCTTGTGAAGTATTTGTCACGGTCTCCATGAATTGGTCAATACTATTTGTTCATGTACGGCCAATGTGGCCTCCTTGTCCAAGCTGGATGGCACTTGGAAGTATCATGACTACATCGTCCGTCGTCCTCCATATCAACCTCCACACTCTGCCAGCAGATCAAATATCACCGGTTGCTTTCCCAACAGCTTAGACGCAAGTCCGATGGTGGAAACCGGCAATGCGGACTTCGAGACTCGGCTCAGATTCACTCCCAAACACTCCAGGGAACTTCCTCGGGACGCAAAAGCGCAGGGTGACTTTACAACACGAACTGAACAGACTTGACAGAGGACTAGTTCCTCATGCATAGTCTCTAACTGAATGGTTTCAGATGCAAAGGTCTCCATAGTCCACATACCAGGATCTGATAGCTTGCGACAAGCGGACATGATAGTATACAGAGGAATGGAGGACGGCGACGAGCACCAAATGCTTTGGATGCCCGGTCGACCTTCCATTTTGGACGTAGTGAAGCAAGTCTGCACTAGTACCTAATTGGCTAGTGCAGATCGTTATCGATAACCAGAAAAATTATCGCCAGCCTCCGCAGTAATTTTTGTCCCAAAGTGTGATAATTTGCGTTCAACCTCACCGCTGGCAAGACCTCATGAGTCGCAACAGCATGTCCAACTCAATGGATCCCCAGCTAGCGGAGTCAAAGAAGCGCAAAAGGAAGCGGACGAAGCCCACACAAGCAACACCCGAAACGCAAGCCGCACCATCTCCCCACGTAGACCGAATCCTTGCGTCCGCGAACGAACCGCAAGAGAAGAGCAAAAAGAGACGGAAGACGTCACATGCGAGCGAAGACGAAGATAACGTCGAGATCAAAGCTTCAGCCAAAGCGGTGAAAGATGCTCCAGAAGAAGCAGAAGAAGGGTCTTCGGACAGTGAGGTGGACGACGAAATCGACAACGATGATGAAGCAGGCCCTGAACTCGAAGAGACTGTCGATACCACAACCATGAGCACGGAGATCACTTCTGCTCCTGCTTCAACAGACCTGCCTACAGACACCGTTCCGTCTCTGCCTGGCACTGAAACCACCCCTCAAGCCTTCTCCGAACTCAGCCTATCTGAAAAGACCATGCAAGCCATCACAGAAATGGGCTTCACGAGCATGACCGAGATCCAAAGGCGAGGCATTCCTCCGCTGATGGCAGGCCGCGACGTTCTCGGAGCCGCCAAAACCGGTTCTGGAAAGACGCTCGCCTTCCTGATCCCTGCTGTGGAAAGGCTGCACGCTCTACGGTTCAAGCCGCGCAACGGCACTGGCGTCATCGTCGTCTCGCCCACACGAGAATTGGCACTGCAAATTTTTGGTGTTGCCCGCGACCTGATGCAATTCCACAGTCAAACCTTCGGAATCGTCATTGGAGGCGCAAACCGCAGCGCCGAGGCGGAAAAGCTCACCAAGGGCGTCAACCTCCTGATCGCCACCCCGGGCCGGTTGCTCGACCACCTAAAAAACACCAAGGGCTTCGTCTACAAGAACGTGAAGGCTCTCGTGATTGACGAAGCCGATCGCATCCTGGAAGTCGGATTCGAAGACGAAATGCGTGAGATTGTCAAGATCCTCCCGGACCGCGACCACCGGCAGACCATGCTCTTCAGCGCGACACAGACCACCAAGGTCGAGGACCTGGCCCGCATCTCCCTCCGCCCCGGCCCGCTGTACATCAACGTGGACCACAAGAAGGAGCACAGCACGGTCGAAGGACTCGAACAGGGGTACGTGATCTGCGACTCGGACAAGCGCTTCCTGCTGCTCTTCAGCTTCCTGAAGCGCAACCTGAAGAAGAAGGTGATTGTGTTCATGAGCAGCTGCAACTGCGTCAAGTACCACAGCGAGCTCCTCAACTACATCGACCTGCCCGTGCTCGAGCTGCACGGCAACCTTAAGCAGCAGAAGCGGACCAACACCTTTTTCGAGTTCTGCAACGCCACCCACGGCACCCTGATCTGCACCGACGTCGCCGCGCGAGGCCTCGACATCCCCGCCGTCGACTGGATCGTGCAGTTCGACCCCCCGGACGACCCGAGGGACTACATCCACCGGGTGGGCCGCACGGCGCGCGGCGCCAACGGCAAAGGGCGGAGTCTGATGTTCCTGCAGCCGAGCGAGGTCGGCTTTTTGAGCCAGCTGAAAGAGGCCCGCGTGCCCGTGGTCGAGTTCGACTTCCCGGCCAAGAAGCTGGTCAACATCCAGAGCCAGCTCGAGAAGCTGATCGGGCAGAACTATTACTTGAACAAGGTGAGTGAGTGATTTGAGTCGCTAACCCATCACCGTTTCCGCTCCGACATCTCTTTATCCTCTTCTTCCCAACCCATCTCCCCTCTCCCCCTTGGTTGACATTTCCCTTTTCTTTTTCATCACCCTCTCACAAAACAACCACCTGCTCCAATCACAAAATATCCTGACCCCATCATCATCCCTTCTCCTTCCCAACCAAAGAAAACGCCCGTTGTAGCGTCCAAAGCTAATCTATATCTGTCCCCCCGATAGTCCGCCAAGGACGGCTACCGCTCGTACCTGCAGGCCTACGCCTCCCACAGTCTGCGCTCCGTCTTCGACGTCAACAAGTTGGACCTGGTCAAGGTCGCAAAGAGCTTCGGCTTCCCCACCCCGCCGAGGGTGGATATCCAGCTGGGCGCGAGCATGCGAGACAAGAAGCAGAACCCGGCGAGGAGGAGCTATGGGAGCCAGCCCAGGCAGAAGAATGGGTTTAAGCGGAGATGAGAGAAATCAAATATGTCTGTCGATTGTTGGGGAGGGCGATTCAAGTGACGCTCTCGTCAATGTGTCAGGAGCTAATGGAGTTGGACATGGTGTTTGACTTGGCCTCACTTAACATCAAAGGGCTGGCTGACCTCGTTCATCAATCTAATCGAGCCCTTGACATTGTTGACTTGCCTAATCCCTGAGTTCCTCGCACTCTGACACTCTCCTTTCCTCAATCTGTCCAGTTCTATGTACCCTTATCAATGCTTTATCTGCATGGACGATTCTCTCGCTCCTCACGAAGCCATCATGGTCGAGAGCTTCTGAAAGTCTGGCGTGCCCCAGCCCGTCACTGGATCCCACCCTGGCGCCGCATCCCAACCGGCATCCGTAATCTTGGGCGCTGGCTGGCCCGTATACATGTCCTGGCCTGAACATCCGCGAGACCGTCCCAGGGTGATATCGTTGAATGCCTGGTAGCCCTGCGAGTACAACCAAGGGTTCAGGAATCCGAGCTTGGCCTTTCCCTGCGCCAGACGTTTATTGTTCAAATTGGAGATAATGGCGGCAAAAGTTGGCGCTGCGCAAGACGTTCCGTACAAGAATTGTGGATGATCTTGGTTTTCTATCAGGTAGCGCACAGATTGGGCTGAGACATCCGGATACCCTCGCCCAGAGGCATTAAAATACCCTTTGTTCTTGTTGCCCAATTTGCCCAGGTACGCCTTGGTGACGTTGATTTGGTAAGAGGGTGCCGCGAAGTAGTTGGAAAACCCTCCTGACGAGAAGGCAGCTGCAATTTCCGGATTCAAGGCGTAGGTACCTCCCACAGCGGTTACATAGGGGCACGTCGCTGGGAAATTTGGCGCAAAGCGTGGTGTATTCTTTCCGTCGTTAGATTCACACGCACTACCGACGCCAGTATCACCTGAAGCAAAGATCACAGACACTCCACGGAGACCGAGGAAGGAGAATGCAAGGCACACTTCTCTTGCCCAGTCGAAGGGCACGGTCTGCTCGTCCTCAGCGTACGAGGTGGTGAGGACGTCAGGGAGGTCTGAGTTGTTGAGGCTCAATAAGTAGTGGAGTTGATCAAGGTATGGCTCATTGCTGCCATTCTGAGCAGGAGTCGGCTGGTCAAGGTCTGCGAGCATTGGAGCTCGTCCGGCGGTTGAGTAGTAAACGACTGGCGTGCCTCGGGCCAGGGCCACAGCATATTGCACCTAGGATCAGTTAGTGGTGGCAAGCCGGCGGAAACCGTCTAGCAGACGATAGACCTACGTCGAGATTGCCCTCTGCAGTTTTGTTCACCCCTTTCTGATCACTGACTCCGTTGTTAATTGGCACGATGGAGAAGTCATGAGCCTGGCTACCGGCGCCTGTAAGCTTGAGAAAGTCCTCTAGATCGTCAAAATACACTCCTTCGTCAATGAAACCGGAGACACCAAGCTTCGTCTTTCCTTTGGGGTCGGCCTGGAAATCGCTCATCCTGTAGATACCTCGAAGGCATTCCGGGGTAATGGTGCTGTTGCAGAAGGTAGCATTATAGGTGGTCAAAAGACCAGGGTTACCAATTGGCGAAATTAACCCTGGATCAGGACTATCTCTGGGCTCCAGGATGAAGCTGGTTTGTGCTCTGGGTTGACCAAATCGGGTGGTGGGCTGGACTGTCGTGATAAAAGGTCGGAGACTTGTCGGGATTGAGTATTGAAGAGTGCGAATCAAAGTAGTGTCTCCATTGTGATACTCAGAGAACTCGGTGCTAAGAAGGCTCTCAGCTTGGAAGACGTAGATGTGTAACGTGATCCAGGTTCCTTGATACGTGATGTTCTCTGCGAGGATGCCTTCACCCTCGAGCCAGTCAATGATTAGAGCAGTTACCTCACTAGGTGGTCGCAGCAGATCGTCCAATTCATGTTTCTCCAGGTGCCGGCCGTAGAATGGATGATCAGGCGTAGAGATGTCGAGTAGGTGTTGAGGGATACCACTCATGGCCGGGTGATCCATGGCGAGACGCAGTTTGATGACTTCCCTGGGGCTCGGCTTTTTGCCCTTTCTCCTGTGAGCTGACGACTCCTTCCTTCCAGCTTGAATCAGCGTACCTGAGTCCATCCCACAGGAACGGCAGGCAGCTTTGCCACAACTGTGGTTGAAAGATCAGGTAGAGCGGTGATGAAGACACCCCAAGCGACGAGGAGCAGGGTCAGGATGAGGACCGTCATGTTATCGACAGTGAGGACAATATGGCCTAGCTTTGAGAGTCAGAGAACGTGACGAACCGTTTGTTAGTATCGTGGTAAGCAAGGACATTGGACTTTGAGAGCAGCGAGGCTTGCATAGGAATGTCTGTCATGCACGGGCGAAGCTGCAATGGAAGTGACGACCGTCCTGCTGCCGAATGTTGTTGAGATGGCGGGAAGGAACATTGAAGCGACAAGTGAAGTTCTAATCAGCGAGGCATTCACTGCGAGCAAGTGCAAATCTGGACTGCTTGAGAGCACAGGGAAATGGACCGTGCCATCGACAAGTGTCTACCTACGATCCAGCTGGGAAGATGTATTTCTCCTTTCCAAACCCAGATTGGTAGGTTGAAAGACACAGAAGTTTTGCGAGGGGCAGGTATTCAATTGTATTGTGATATTTTCGTGCATCGATACTCCGTTGACATCATCTCCAAGCTGAACAAAGCGGCAAAAAGTCCGAAAGGTCAGGAATGTCTATCGTCTCATATCTGCTCCCAGTTGTAGCTCGTGCTCAAGGTCATTGGTCGCAAAGGCACCAGCCTCTTGCGGCCTTGGATCCTCATGGCTGCTCCATTGACTCGGGTTCTCGGGAATTGGCACATTGATGTTGGCAGTCGGAGTCTGAGATGGCTGGTGGCGAACGTGGTGACGGAATCTCATGACTTCGTCCAGAATCATCTTTCGCATCTCCTGCACATCTTCGACCACCTCAAACGCAAAGTCGAAGGTCTTGGGACAAGCAGGCTCGTCACTGGCATCGTGCCAAATGTGAAGGTATCTGTGCTCCAAAGCATCCTCCACCGAGATGCGAGATGACGGATCGAACGCCAGCATTCGGTCCAGAAGATCAAGGGCGTCCGGATTCGCCTGTGGGAACAGCCTCTGGAAGGGGATCTTGGGCATGTACGGCAGGTTGCGGACATACTCCTGAGCGCGGGGTGAGCCGATTCTGGAGAGGGTCTCCTCGTTAGGGGTGCCCAGGTAGTGCAGAATCTGGTTCAGCTGATCGACGTAGTCCCGGCCCTTGAAGAAGGGTCTGCCCCCGAGCAATTCCGCCAAAATACATCCAACCGACCACACATCGACTATTGAGCATGTCAGCAGCGATTTCCGTGTTCATCGAGGGTCAACATACTGGCTTTGGTGTAGCTCTGGAAGCTCAGCATAATCTCCGGAGCACGATACCATCGAGTTGCGACGTATTCGGTCATATATCCCGCATTCTCCTCGGGATCCTGAGAGAAACCTCTGGCCAGACCAAAGTCGCAAATCTTGAGCTCGCAGTCGGCATTAACGAGAAGATTGCCGGGCTTCAGATCTCTGTGCAACACATTTGCCGAATGGATGTACTTGAGACCGCAGAGAATCTGATAGATGAAAGATTGAAAGTGGGCATCGGTGAGAGGTTGGCCGGATCTAATGATGGCCGCAAGATCGCACTCCATCAATTCTGGTGCGCGTTAATTACCGTCTCCTCCCGTAAAGAGGTCAACATACCTTCATAGAGATAGGTCTCGTTGAAGTTGTCCGGCCGGGGGATATCCATGTCATAGAGACAGGTGATCTGTGCCTAGTCAGCTCGCTGCCCTTTCCATGATTGATCGCAACGACCGACATTTCGATGGCCGCGGAAGTGCTGTAGAAGCTTGATTTCGCGCAATGCCCGCTTCGCGAGAATCTTCTTGCTGAAGACATTGGTGACTTTCTTGATGGCCACTCCTTCTCCCGTTTGCGAGTTGGTCGCAGCACTTTCGGCCAGGTCAGCAAGGCTCCAGCGCATGGCGGAGGAACTCCTACCAGACAATACCATATGCACCCTGGCCCAACTCTTTTGTCACGGTATATCTCTCGTCGACAATGAAGTCTTGGTTGAAGACCTTGAACACTTTGCGCCCAGCTAGGTCCCCCATGTTGCTGCTGCTCTTACGATTACCGATTGGGGCTTTGGTGAGGTACAAGTAGGATCGGCCAGCGAGTTGATCGTGACGGGGAAGGTCAGGACAGCAGTTCAGGCGTTATAAAGGAGAACCAGCCACGGAGATCGAGGAGGCAAGGCAGACTTTTGGGTCTTGGGTGACTGTGCGGCTGAATGATAGAGTTGAGCAGTGCTGACAGTCTGGGAGCAACTGCGAACTCGAATTGCGGCGAGTGTGTCCAGTCGGAGTCTAAGGTGGGGGCCACTTCAGGTGTAGCGCGAAGATATTTTTGTAAGACCTAGCCAGTAAAGGGATTTGGACGCCGGGATATGATCAAAGTGAGAGATTTGAAGTAAAATTGGGAGTTCAGATCTGCGTCAGATAGCCGCTGGGGTGGATTGGGCACCGCTGTTTTGTGATGGAAGTGCTTTTGGCTTCTCGTTTGTAGCAACCGCGCGCTGTGGTTTCAAGGCGGGCACTGGCGGGATGGGGAAAAGGCGAAGGGAGGGGCAGCAGCCACCAGCCCTAGTAGTGAGTGACCTGAAGCCTAATTGAACTCGGTGGTGGGCTGGTGATGCCCCGGAGCCCGCCCTGGCTGCCCAACCAAGTTCGCCAATCCAGTCCGCCAGCCTAACAAAGGATGTGAGAGCGCCAAGCACGCCACTTTGGCGAAGCACGTGCCGGAGCTAGTTGAAGCCTCGCGAGGGCTGCCCCTCGCCCCCTGATGAAAAAGTGTGGCTTGAGTGTTACATGCCACAAACTGTTGATCCAGCTCAAGGTTGAGTTACATTGCCCTTCTTTGTCCCAGGGGGAACCAAGTCCTGCCTGCGGCTAATGTCAACATCTACCAAGTCCTGAAGATTGAGCCATCACTGTCACTCAAGAGGCGTATCTGTCCCCTCGAAGACAGGCTACCAACCGCGGCCAAGGATTCGCCGTGATGCCAAAAGGCTAGGTCAGGTCAATTACAACCCTCAGCTAGACCGCCATGGAGGAGCTACTTGCGAAACACCGCAAGGAAAAGCGCGACCTCCAAGCAAAGATCACGCAGAAAAAGAAGAACGTGACCAAGAAGACCCGAAAGGGAGTGAATGACGAATGCGAAAGACTCGAGCGGGAACTGGCTGAGAGGCAGCAGGCCGAGATCCAGGAGTTGGAACCCAAAGATCCCAATGAACTACAGGAGGCGCTGGAAGATCTCGATATCGGTGAGCACCCAGGGGGAGAGATCAATGGCGGGCCGGACCTTGAACTGGCGCCGGCCAAACAAGTCGACGCCGGAGAACCAACGCCCGTGGACCAGTCTCGAGCTCGAAAACCAAACCGGCAAAAGGCAAGGCTGGCACGCCGCGCAGCCGAACAAGAGGCACAAGCCGCAGCGGCAGCTCTCGAGGCAGAGAACCTTCCCGATCTGCGTGAGCAAGAACTCGCCGGCATGAAGCAACAAATGGCCAAACTAGGCTTGTCAGAAACGCTCATCCGGCCCGATGGACACTGTCTCTTCTCCGCCTGCGCACACAGCATGCCCCCCGACCGTCTTGCCGCAAACTCCGACGGGAACAAAAAGGAGCCGTACGAGAAGGTCAGATGCGCGGCAGCGGAGTTCATGGCTCGACATCCCGGGGATTTCGAGGCGTTCATGGAGGAGCCGTTGAATGCGTATGTGAAAAAGATCAGAGACACGGCAGAATGGGGCGGCGAGTTGGAGTTGCAGGCCATTGCGCGATCGTACAACGTTGAGATCAACGTGCTCCAAGCGAGTGGGCGGGTGGAAAAAATCTCCTCTGGATCAGATGTCCCTCAAGAAGGCTCGAATGACACCATCTGGCTGGCATATTATCGACACAGCTTTGGGCTTGGTGAGCATTACAATGCGTTGAAGAAAGTGGACAAAAGTTGAGCAACTACTCCTTGTTTTCACGTCGAATCATTACCCGTTCACTTGAACACGAAGGTTTTGATGGGCTGTTGAAGCCCAGGGAGCTCCTCTGCCCCCAGACCAGCCACAATCTCAACGGTGGCGCCAAACCGAGATATAGTCCTCCACATTACCGTCCTTGTCCTTGCCCACGTTGTGCGTGTCGGCTGGATGCCAATGCCCCACCCTTTCCAGTGCACCTGGGCCAGACGGAGCGAGCGGATTCATCTTGACGTTGCCTTCCTCATCGTAGGGGATTTCTTCCCCTGGGTGGCTCAGATGTTCGAAGTATGTCTTCGGAGCAACCCCGTAAGGGGGACCACCGGACTTGACGGGTTTGGCAACTGGGAACTCGAGACAGACAAGATTTGCTTGCGGGGACTGGCGGAGGAGCTCGGTCATGCGTTTGGCCCAAGCAGGGCGCATACCTGGGTGCATTGCGCAGAAGAACTGGAAAAGCACGTGTGAGTGTGTGATCGTGGATCAACTGGGATGTGCGGTAACACGAAAAGATCAACAACCCAGAGGATGAGTTTCTCGTCTGATGAAAGGACAACGACGGTAACAAGAGAACGTAGGTCAGGAAGGTTACTCACAGTATAGTCATAAATCAAATCGAACTTGCCATCCCACTCACCACCAGCACCTAGCTCTGCCCTCGTTTTCTCCACCCACTCGTCCTTGTAAAAGTCTCCCTGAAGAAACACCATTTTCCCCTTACCGATATTCTCATCGTAGGTGGGATACTTGTCGCCATTCTCGGCCACATACTTCTTGCAGGCTTCAAGTGCCTTTTCAGCGTACTCCAACCCCACCACATCATATCCAAAACTCGCTAGTAACAAGACATCGACGCCGCGGCCGCAGCCGGGGACTAATGCGCGTTTCCGATGCTTCTGGCCATCTGCAGATGAGGCGAGAAGGGCATTACCAATGACTTGGGCGTGGTTGACCAGCGTGTCGGCCAGGGCTGGGGATGGCGAGCCACGGTCCCAGGGTAAGAAGTCTCCCTTGTTCCACAGCTCGGCCCAGCCTTCCGTGTAGGCGCCTCCTTGGTACTTGGACATATGGCCCTTGAGCTTTTCACGGTTTTCAGCCGTGGCGCTTGTCGAGGACATGATTGCGGTTGGTACGACCAGCACGGGAGAAGCAGCCGAACACAATGACCTGAGGTTAGCCTCGAATCGGCGAGCGGCAACAAACGGAATAGATGGTCGACGGTGGATGGGAGATGGACCGTGGGTTGGGCAAATTTGCCTGAAGGGGAAAGTGGTTGGGAGCTGCTGGTGGAGGGATCGGCTCTGAGGACCAGCAGTCCTTGTAGAAGGGCGGAAGACTGCTTTCGTCCGAGAGTCTTTCGATATGCACAGCCCCGAGAGCAGACTTGGTGATGTTGTGCTTTTGTTTCTTATTGCATTATTAGCCAGCGATACAAGTTCTCGAGTGTAGTGAGGAGTCAGATGGGAGAACATCGGAGGTGCTGGAACTCAGCATCCGATCCTCTTCAGATGGTGGTTCGATCACTAACACGGCTGCTCAGATCATCATTGGCTCCGACCCTGAGGATGACTGCAGCGACAACTCGGACGTGTACATCCAATTCGGCGTGGGAATCGGGCTTCTGGCTGTGTCTGCGCGTCTGCCTTGAAGCAGCCCTGACTTTAATATTGTCGCAGGTATAACCAACGTGGTTGATATCACGAGACAAGTCTGGATATTGTGTGGCCGACTTGTCGTTTTCTCGACCTTGTAACCTCGTTGCGGCGAAGCAGGTTGTGGTGGTAGAGAGGAGCCTCGTACAAAGTTGGTGCAGTTGCAGGAAAACGTGCCTCGGTTATATGGGCAACTGAGTCGGATATCGTACAACATCATATTAATCTGGAGCCACATGGGCCTGATCGGTACCTGAAGGCATCGAGCACCTTCTCCACCCAGCCAGAGCAGAATCAAATCATTCACTTTGTGTCCTCCGTTGAGCAATGGACGGGCACGACATCTGTCTCCTGCTGGCGATTGACGTCGCTATGGTGGTCAGAGTAATGGTGCTGGTGGTGTCCTCGCCAAGGGGGACATGGACCATCCTCGAAGCTCCGCCAAAAACGCCAAACATCATGTCTGCCAATTGTCACTTCGTCCCCTCTGGCTTCCCGGCAATAACGGCACAGTAACCATCATGTCCTCGATCTCTCCATCTACTTGGACTATCACCAGCAGAACCTCCCCTCCGGCTAGCAATGCTTAACCCCACCATTCTCGTGCCGTCATTGGTTCTGTCGACCGCACTGAATCCGTCCTTTGATGTTGGGCCACCGGTAAACTGCAAATACCCTCGAGCAGCAACGCAACCCCATGCAACGCCATTTGCCGCTGCGGATGTCCTTTTTACTTGCTGGACACGCCCTTCTGCCTTATGTCCGCTCGAGCCATGTCTTCGAGGATCTGCGACCTGAGCGACACGCAGCTGACCGTATCTTTAACGTGCTCATCTCCAACATTCGTTCCTCGGTCTCCATTGCTTAGATTCTTTCTTTGGATTCATTTTTAGGGTATAAATGTTTGAGTGATGACCTGGACAGCAGATATTCGATCTTCCCCGTCCAATTCTGACCTATCTCCGTTCTTCGGCGGACTGCGCACATGGCTCACGATGGCCTCGAGAAACTACCCCCCTCGCCAGATACTGTGTGCGGCCCAGCATCGGAGGAAAGACTGACAAAAGAGAAAGAGCACCATGATACTATCGACTGTCGATCCATGCATTCTGATCACTCGGGCCAGTCGACCGTCGACGACCAGCAAGACATTGAAATTGCCCAAGATGTGTTGGCAAGGACTATAACTCCCAAACGACCCATTGTCAAAGTGCCACGGTCGGAGAGACGAGGTCTGTTTGCTCGCGTCTGTGTCATGGCCGAAGTTACAGAACCCACCGACTATAATAATAGCGTAAAGTGGTGTATCACGGCCATCGTGGCCATTGCTGCTGCCGCCGCCCCGGTGGGCAGTGCCATCATCCTGCGTATGTTCCCTCTGCTGGTGACTTTATTGGAGGTCGCGGATATGCTGACGCGATCAATTCTCATGAAGCGACCCTGGATGAAGTGGCTAAATCCCTTCACTCGAATGCGACCACCACCAACCTATCAGTGGCGTTGTATATGTTGAGCATGGCCATTTTCCCGCTCTGGTGGTCGGCCTTTTCAGAAACGGCTGGGCGCCGCACCGTCTATATCACCTCATTTGCCTTGTTCATCTTGTTCTCCGTCTTGAGCGCCGTCTCTCATTCGATATCCATGCTGATCGTCATGCGACTGTTGTCCGGAGGGGCTTCGGCGTCCGTGCAAGCCGTGGGTGCCGGAACCATCGCCGACATCTGGGAATCATGGGAGAGGGGCAGAGCAATGGGTCTCTTCTACCTGGGGCCTCTTTGCGGGCCGCTACTGGCACCTATTGTGGGTGGTATTCTCGGCCAAGTCTGGGACTGGCGGGCGACTCAATGGGCCCTCGCAATATACGGAGGTAAGCCGCAACTTCTCTGGCATCAAGCCAATGGATCCGTTCGCTGCAAGAATTGGCTTCCTGATGCAATTTTTAGTCTTGACGTGGGTGTTGATTTTCTTTGGTCTGCCTGAGACCTTGAAGGTCCGAAAAGATGTGGCTGAGGAAGCCCTGGCGGACACGGCATCGTCGATCGACAACGGCAGCCATCGACCTCCGTTGAGTCGAACTTCGACCCGAGAAGTGATACAGAAGAAGTCGAAGAAGTACCTAAAGGTTGCACGGATGTTGTTGTTGGACCCACTGAGCGTCATCCTGTACCTCCGGTTCATGCCTGTCTTGCTGACGGTGTATTACTCGGCGGTTACTTTCGGCTCCCTCTACGTACTCAACATCAGTATCCAGTATTCTTTTGAAAGGAAGCCCTATGACTTTTCGACCATCATCATCGGCCTGCTCTATCTGCCCAACTCCTTCGGGTATATTCTTGCCAGTGTACTTGGCGGTCGCTGGATGGATTATATCATGAGGCGCGAGGCGATCAAGGCAAATCGAGTGGACCAGAACGGAAAATTAATCTTTCGACCAGAAGACCGCATGCGTGAAAACGCGTGGCTGGGTGCGTTAGTCTATCCTTGTGCATTGATATGGTACGGGTGGACCGTTGAGGAAGGCGTCCTGTGGGTAGCACCGGTAAGTCAACCTGAAATGGCAACACATGGGGGAAGTTTTGTGATATGCAAGGTACCAAAGTTGACACGTGTGGTACAGATAATTGCGAATTTCTTCTACGGCCTGGGTTCCATGATCATCTTCGCCATGTCAACCACCATGCTGACTGAGTTCATGCCACGTCGATCCTCCTCTGGTGTCGCTCTGAATAACTTTTGCCGGAACATTCTATCGTGTGTTGGCGCCATTGTAGGCGCTCCCCTCATTGCGGCGATCGGCAATGGCTGGCTGTTTACCATCCTGGGGCTTTGGGCACTCTCTAGCGCGTCAGTCATCTGGGCCATGAAACGATATGGTGAGAACTGGCGAGAAAAAATGGATCGACAGCTAAGATAAAAATAAATAGCATGCGAACAAAAGGATAGAATAATAGACCAAAAGACCCCCCAAAGAACTTGTCTCGGTTTGCACGTGACGCTGTAGCCCTCGTGACTTTCAGTCACATGTCTTCCCCTCTGATCCCCTGCGCCCCCCGGAGCATCAAATAAAATGCGGAGGTTGGAAGTGAGGCAGCAACTCAACTCCAGAAGCCAGACAAGAGGAGGAAGACGGCGAACCCCTCGAGACTGATCAGCGGCACATCAACCCTGCGGCCCGTTGTGTCCATCGGCTCGAGCCGTTGCCAAAGTCCCCTCGGGAGCAAAAATCTCTTCTCATGCCTTCGAGTCTCTTAGTCCTCATCATATTCCCACGAATATCTGGCCACTCGAACTGTTGACGAGGTCATGATCATCGCCACCCCGTCTGATTTCCAATGGCAGCAGGCCCTCACCAACCCTGCCCACGCCAACAGAAGCGCCAGCAGATAGACTAACACCTCCTTTCCTTTTTCCTGCGTTCTTCCCGTGCCAGACCAGGGATCCAGCCAGCATCCTGTGTCTCGTCAATGAACTCCTCCACGTCTCTGGACGAACTGGCGTCAAGGGATCCAACACACTGCATAGCCCTCTAGCAAATCGAAATACATGGCGACTCACCACAAGAGAAGGGTACCCGAAGATAGAGGTGCTTCCTTCTGCCCGCAGATTTTTCTCTCTCTCTCCTGGTGTGAACCAGTCGTGATTGTTGGGCACCAATCTAGGTACAACTTCCGCCGTCTACGCGATCCAATCGTCGCCCTCGTTATGCACATTTCGTCCAATTGCGGACATTTGGGCTGGATTATGCCACTCACTGTTGCAGTTGTCTGACCTTGAGTCAGAACTATGCTGCTTTGTACCATTTCCCACCCGCATATCGCCGCATGAATTCTGCAGAAGTCGCCCGTCCAAACATGCCGCCAGACCAGCAATTTTTCGTTGACGTGGTCCAATTGCCGGCCCTTGCTGTTCCAAAACGGGATGCCATGGTCCCTTGTTCATCATTTGGCTGAAGTCGCCCCTGCTGCCCGGTGGGATGATTCATGCTTGGGCTTGCAGGTCAACCCTGCCGTTCAACCAGGTTTTCACACCACCATGATGCACCCTTCAGCCACTCCTTTCCCCTTTCTATACACATTTTCGTCGCTTTACGAGGTTCATGAGGTTTTTTGCCCTCCTGTATTGAGTCGGTTAGATAGCGTCATTCTGCTTTCCGACCCCTCCGCACCGTTCATGATCCTTGCGCAGAGGAGGGATTGGTAGCTCCGAGAGTTTGGCCTGACAGCAGAGCGCCTCTACAACCCCAGGCATCGGCCATGGGAAGGGCTAAAAAGAGAAAGAATAAGAAGACTTTCATTGACCCCTGGTCTGATGAACCCAAAGACATCGGCGATGGCGGAGCCATACAAGTCCCAGTTCCAGTACGCCAAACTTCCTGCTTATCAATGGCAAACGTTTGATCCAAACGCCGTCACATACTCCCTTCATCCTATCATTGCACCCGACGAACTTGATCCCAGCAACCTTGATACTGACGACCAGTTGAAGAATGAGGAGGCCGCCACCAGATCTGACGACGTCGCAGAGCCTCCTCTCCCTCCTTCAGAAGACAACCCCCAGGAACTTGAAGGTAAATTGCATTGTGAAGAAATTTCTAGTTCCTGCTCTGACTTTCTTCTCCAGATCCCGCCGTCATGGACGACGTAACAGCACCAGCAGACGCTAGCGCCGAGGAGATCGTGGTAGAGGGAGATGCAGGTATTCTCCACAAAAACATTTCTGCGCCGACTCACTCTGATGGATTTACTCTAGCACAGGGAGCCGGCACTGAGGCCTCTCCCGAGAGCGTGGAGCCCAAAGCTGAAGATGCTCCCGCTGAGAATGCTGACAACGGGCCGTCAGATACACCAGATCCTGTCCCGGAACCGGAGCAGGAGGAGCCAAAGGACGAAAATGTTGAGCAGCCCGTCGAGGACGATTCAAAGGATGCAATCGAAGACAAGGATGCCGCAGACTCGTCGGAGGCTACTGCCATCGAGTCAAGCGACGGCGACAAATCTTCTGAGCTAGAAACCGTGGTGGAAGTGGTGGAGAAGATGCAGGAAGCTGATGCTCCTCCAGAGCAAATCACTGAGGTCTTGGAAAAGGCCATGTCCGACGTTGGGGCTACTCCTGCTTCTCCGGAGTCAGCAGCTGTAGCTGACCAGCTACCGGGCGAGGGCGAAGAGAACCCAGAAGCACTCGCAGAAGATGAGGGAGAAGCAGCACCTGAACCTGCTGCTGACCCAGACCCCCAAGAGAACAAACCTACAGAAGACAGCCCTGCCGGTGATGCAGAAGAGCAAGCCCACGACGATTCTGCAGATGCAGAGCCAGCAGACAAGCCGGAAGAAACGACAGAGACAAGCGAAGAAACAGCGGCCGACGAGGCTCCAGCGGAAGGGGTGCCAGAGGGCAATGAAGGTGACGCTCCCGTCACAGATGCAGCAGATGATGCGCCGCCCGAACCGCCCGCTGGGGAAGAAAAAGAGGGCGAACCAGGCGACGACCCGGCGCCTGAGACTGCAGAGGCCGATGGGAACGGGGACAACAACGATACAGAGGAAAATGTTGCCTCTGATGACCCTGCACCCGAAGAAAAGGTGGAGGAAGGTACAGTCGAGGAGGGATCACCAGAAGCCGGCGTCGAGGCACCAGCGGCTGGAGACGACTCCAGCCAACATGAAGAGGCTGCTGCCGAAGAGACGCCTGAAGTAGAAGACCCTCCCGAAGAGGTACCAACAGAAGAACCTCCGGCGGACGAGACGTCCGTAGTGGAAGACCCTCCTGAGGAGGTACCAGCAGAAGAACATCCAGTCGAAGAACCAGCTGCAGAAGAACCAGCTGCAGAAGAACCAGCTACGGAAGAGCCCTCAGCAGAACAGGTTCCTGCAGACGATAATCCGGCGGAGGAAACACCTGCCCAGGAGGGCGCTGGAGAAGACGGCGAGGCTGAACAGACAACCGAAGCAGAGACCCCTGAAGACGCGGCCCAGGACGAGGCTGAAGACTCAGCAACAGGCGATGCCGTCGAGGAGGCACCAACGGAAGAACCAGCATCAGACGAACCAACAGCTGAGGTAGTCGAGCCTGCGGAAGCTGCTGCGGAAAAGCCCGAACCGACCGAAGAACCCACCGCCGAAGAACATGCCGCGGAGCCTACAGAAGAGCCTACAGAAGGCCCTGCCGATGAGCCTGCTGAGGAGCCTGCTGAGGAGCCTGCTGAGGAGCCTGCTGAGGAGCCCGCTGAGGAGCCCGCTGAGGAGCCCGCTGAGGAGCCCGCTGATGAACCCACTGAACAGACTAGTGAACAGCCCGCTCCTGAAGAGACTGCTGAAGAACCGACTGAAGAAGCTACGGAGGAACCAGCCGAGGTATCAACAGAATCCGCCAACGAAGCAGCAGAGGACGCGGCAGAAGACCCAGCGGAAGAAGCTCCTGAAGAGGCTTCTGAGGAACAAGCTGTCGAAGAGGCGACAGAGGGACCAACAGACGAGACCCCTGCAGAGGCTGCTGAAAAGGCACCCGAGGAACCAGCTGCCGAAGAGGGTCTCGAAGAAGCTGTCGTCGAAGCAGCCGCGGGAGAGCCTGCAGAAGACCCAGCAGAAAAGGCTCCTGAAGAGGCTCCTGAAGAGGCTCCTGAAGAACCTGTCGCTGAAGAGAACAGCGAGCAACCTGCAGCCGAAGAAGCTGCAGAAGAAGTCCCAGGGGAACCAGCAAAAGAGGCCGCTGAAGGGGCTCCCGAAGAACCAGCGGCCGAGGAAACTAACGAAGAGCCTGTCGCCGAAGAACCTACGGAAGAAGCCCCAGGAGCACCTGTAGAAGAAGCTTCTGAAGAACCAGCTGCCGAAGAAGCTGCCGAAGAGCCGGCAGCTGAAGAAGCGGCAGTTGCAGAAGCACCTGACGATACGGCACCGGCCGATGATGAAGTACCTGCTGCGGACGAATCAACCGAACCAAATGACGAGGCACCTGCAGTAGAGGAAGCTGAGATAGCTTCTGAAGCGAAAGAAGCAGCAGCGCCCGAAGAATCGGCTGCTCCCCTCGAAGCAGCAGCCATTGGGGCAGTTGTCGGCGCTGCGGGTGGTCTTGTGGCGTCGGAAGCGTCCAAGGGTTCAAAGGAAAGACGAAGAAAGTACCATGAGAAACGCGGACGGAGTTCGAAAGACCAACTGCACGGGCATAGAGGGAAACTTGAGAGGAGCAGGGGTGAAGCAGGGTTATTCGACAGCGCATTTGCAAGACAGATCAAAAAACAGTCCAAAGAAAAAGAGCATGGCCGACACGAGCTATCGCCTGAAGAGGAGCGTGAAAGAGCCGAGAGAAAGAGAGCCAAGAAAGCTCGACGCGACAGTGAGGCACATGTCACAAGACATGACCAAAGTCGTCGCCAGGCAGAGGAAGACGCCGCCAAGGAAGAGAGGAGGCGTAGGCGCCACGAAGGAAAAGAGAGGCGAAGACCGGAGGCTGAAGTAGCAGAACATGCCACGAAGAGGAATGGCAAGGAAAAGGAGAAATCCCCAGAGTCACCTCGCGATGCTACAACCGAGAGCAGCAGTGAGCCCAGAACCAGAACCAGGCGGCCCAGCAGCGCAGGAACCAATGCCGGTGGTGGTTCTTCGGTGCTGCCGATTCCTGACATCTTGAAGAGAATGGCAACGGGCGAAAGTGACACCAAACCTCTCCTCATGTTCAAGGTGAACGACCCGGCCCTCCCGAGGGACAGGTCCAGAGAGAGAACGAGAAGCCGCCATCACGAGCACCACCACGAGCATAAACACCACAAGCCTCGTGATGACGCATCCGACCGAGAGCGAGAAGGCAAGGACGATTTTGCAGAGGACCGGCCAAAGGCATCGAGGCACTCGAGCTCAAGAAGGGATCGTCAGTACCATGGGGAGCTTCGAACAACTCCAAGGTTCGGCATCATAGGCAAGGCAATCAACACGCTTGTGGAGCACACAACTGTCAGGGAGATTTGGCGTGGAGAGCGGGTCGGAGCGTGATCTATGGCGTCCAAAACATGCTGGAAGCTCAAGGCTGAGAGCAGACTGGGATATACATCGTCGACAGCACATGCAGGGATACGTGAAAATGGAGGGACCGGAGCACTCGTTTGAGGAGGATCTCGTATGTCTTCCGGGCGGCGGATTGGTCTCGCGACCAATTCTTTGTATAACTAGTGCCTAATGTGTCAGAAGTAGCCACTGTATGGAGATGGTAGTTTTATGATGAACAAGCAACTTGTCTTCTTGTCCTTCTCGCAACATGGACGCTAAATGCCCGGCCGGCCAACTTTTGCCGTCGTCGTCGCCGTTTTCGGGGAGCGGCCGGCGTCTCCGTCAGCTTTGGCGTATCTCAAAGCACAGTCGAAAGGTTCAACGGAGAAGTCCTGATGGCCCTTCGCACACGAGAACGACCTGCCGGAAGAAGCTCAGGCTTGAAGGGGTGCGGCAAGTTAGTTTTGCTCGTTTGGTGTCTCTCGCCCCTCGTGTATGGACACACGTCTTTCGAGTTTCTCCACGTCATGGAGGGGCAGGCGGCATGTTGCGCTGGTGTTTAAGTAATTTATTTACTGCTCCGGCAAAATGAAGTCCCCCTCCACAGAAGAGGACTTTGGGAGCCATTGACTGCAGCCAGAAGGTCAAGTATAATCCATTTTTTCGTCCTGCTTCTTCATTTCATACTGGGGCCTTTCCGCATTGAAAATCTGCAGGACTGTCCGGCGTCATCAACTTCGCGACTCCCTCGTCCAAGCCAAACCCTCCGCCTCGCAGTCTCGGATCCCTCCTACAGCCTCAGGCCAGTTACAACGATGGGTTCAACAGGCAAAGACATGAAGGTGGAGGCCGTCTTCCCCGGTACTACGTCGATGTTTATGAAGTTCCCGAGCAGAAGGAGCGTGGTCCATAGCACACAGGGTATGGTCGCATGCACGCAGCCTTTGGCCGCCGAGGCAGGGCAAAGGATCTTGAAGATGGGAGGGAACGCCGCTGTAAGTGGAACATACTCGGAGAGGGGTTCAATTACCAGAGCTCAGCTGACAAGGTCTCTAGGATGCTGCTGTCGCAGTCGGTATGTCGAGAACCTTTGTTGTCCTGCTCGGATTTTCCTCTCTGACGCCCCACCAGCTGCTGCGTTGAACATGACTGAGCCCAGCTCGACTGGGATCGGGGGAGACATGTTCTGTCTCTTCTTCGATGCGAAGACAAAGAAGGTCCATGCGCTCAACGGCTCGGGGCGTAGCGCGAAGAACACCACGCTGGAACAAGTGAGGAAAGAGCTGGGCCTGTCCTCGTCACAGAACGGCAAGATTCCCGTCCAGAGTGCGCTGTCCGTGACGGTTCCTGGCGCGCCTGGGGGATGGGTGGACGCCGTCGAGAAATTCGGGAGCGGGAAATTGAGCTTGGAGCAGATCCTCACGCCGGCAATTGAACTGGGCGAGAACGGGTTCCCCGTCAGCGAGCTCTCTGCAATGTGGGTGAGTTGCTGTCTGAACTCTAGCGTACAAAATTAAAGGTCACAATACTGATACGTCCGCAGTGGCACGAAGGTGAACAAGGCCTCCGAAATGCCTCACCCAATTTCCGTGAAATGCTCAAAAGAGACAAACACTCGGAAGATTTCGTTCGGGCTCCTCGGGCTGGTGAGATCATGAAGAATCCATGTCTGGCAAGGACATTTAGAACATTGGCGGCAGAAGGGAAGAAGGGATTCTACACGGGGAGGATCGCCCAAGCCATCGTCGACGTCCTCAAACTTAGAGATGGGCATATGGAACTTTCGGACCTGGAGGACCATCTGAACCGGGGCGCCCAGGAGACTGAACCTATCTCATTGAGATTCAGCGCTCAGAACGTCAAGAAGATGGGGGCTCAGCGAGTGACGAACGGGTCACCAGACGATCACTTTGTCGAACTGTGGGAGCATCCGCCCAATGGGCAGGGGATAGTTGCTCTCATGGCCCTCGGCATCGTGGAAGAGCTCGAGCGGACGAAGCAGATCCCCACATTTGCCCAGGAGGACCACAACAGTGCTGCACACTTGCATGCCGTGATCGAGGCGCTTCGGATAGCTTTTGCGGACGCCAGCTGGTGGGTGACGGATCCAGACTTTATGCCGGTCAAGCCAGCAGACATGATCTCACGGCCATATTTGGCAGAACGGGCCAAGCTGTTCAACAAGGAAAAGGCTGGCGTTTACAGCAATGGCCAGCCAGGACCCAGCCCAGCTCAGAATCATAGCGACACCGTATACTTCGCCGTGGCCGACAAGGAGGGCAACGGCATGAGCTTCATCAATTCCATTTACGAAGGGTTCGGATCTTTCATCATCCCTCAAGGCTGCGGGTTTAACCTACAAAACCGAGGGTCGAACTTCGAACTGGGACCGCCCGATCATCCAAACATCTATCAGGGGGGGAAGAGACCTTACCACACGATTATCCCGGGAATGATCACCCACGGCACAGAAGGGGAGCGGGAACTGCACTCCGTGTACGGAGTGATGGGCGGTTTCATGCAGCCGCAGGGTCACCTCCAAGTGCTGCTCAACATGGAGGTCTTTGGCATGAACCCGCAACAAGCCTTGGACGCCCCCAGAATATGCATTGGCGCGGGCATGCCTGACCAAACTGATCCGACCGCGGGAACTGTTTATCTGGAAGAAGGCATCGATGAGGCAGTGGTCAAGGCACTGAAGCAGATGGGCCACGATGTCGAGGTTCTCCAGGGATTCAGCCGAGCCAGATTCGGTCGAGGGCAGATTATTCGGAGACATGTTGACGAGGACACTGGCCTGGTGGTGTACAGCGCCGGGAGTGACATGCGAGGTGATGGGTGTGCTTTGCCAGGGTAGAAGATGATATTGAATACCTACAAGTAGGCTACCAAAGGCTATCCAATACCTCTGTACCTGCGTCGGTGGTGTGCTTTTCAGCCAGCCACACAGTCAGCCTCACTCTTTGCCGAGCAGCCACCCGGGGGATCGGGGGGACGATCTTGCCTACCTAGTTGACTTAGTTAGGCTTGAGCCTTGCGCCAGCGGGCTTGGGAGCGACGGCTTCCCGAATACGAGCCTTGCTTGACCCTGCTCTCCTTCCTGGACATGTAGTCCCTTAGGAAAACCAGAGGCTGGAAGAAGTGGCTGTTTGCGTGGATGAAAAGTGTGGCAATGCCTCACTGCTCACGGGCAGCTCCGGGGAATCTGCTATCTCAGCAGCTAGCTAGAAATGATGCTCTTCGTGTGTCAATGCCTTCGACCTGCCTCATGAGGTTACTGTACGGTTCAGGGAGTTGGGAAGGTGACACTGGGGGAGCGAGGGTGGCACGGGATCGGCCACAGTTGGGGGAACAAGCTTTTCTCGAAGCCTGGAAGCAGCCCTGAGAGGTTCCTCTCCGGGGACCAGTAGGGCAGCTAATTAGCTATAAGCACTGGTGGCACCGCCTAAGCCTGGCTAATTAGGTAGTACACGTAGGCTAAGCAATGGCTGTTGCTCGCCTGGCTGCTCGTTGGTTTGCCGCTATCAGACCCGCCCTTCCGTTGCTTCTGCTTCTCCTGCACTTCACTGGCCATCTTCCAAATCATTGCGCATCTCGCTGCCAAATTGCCCGTCGAACCTCCCTCATCTCTTTGGCTCTTCGATTGATTCTACGGGGGATTCTTCATCTCATCCCAGTTGCGGTATCAGTCTGATTTCCCCGGTGTACTTTTGTCTGATGGATTCAATCTTGCCCGTGGTCGAATCACCTCCAGTGCAGTGCTTGCCGACCGAGGCATTCTCGAAAGCTCTGGTGGAGAAGGATCCGGCTCGGTAGGTTACATGCTGGGAGCAGGGGAGTTGTTATCAGCTTATACACAGGCACACGATCACGCTCCGGACGAATCATTCACTGCGATAGACAAATCCTTCCAAGAGATCGTCTCCAGCCGTCTCCATCCTCCTTCCTCCATCCTACCCCCCTCGCCGCCCTCCCATGTACCTTGCCTCCCACGCGTCATAGACTGGGTCTTGAGCTGCTGCTTCTGCACAGGCGCTTCTCAAACAGCGTTGCAATGTCGCTTCCCACACGCCTCTCTGCAGCAGTGGCACAACCTTACTTCGGCTTTGGCCGTCGCCTGGCGACTCGGGAAGCTGCATGATCTTGTTATCGTTCAATCACCATCCTGTATCACCGCGGATGCCATGGATGCTACCACGAGGTGGAGACCGACATCCATGATCATCAGGTAAAGCTTTCATCATGGTGCCCTGTCAAGCGAGAATCTCCCCAGCTTGGAGGGGAGAGAGGAGCTCTGAGGGTCACTGAGCTTTTTCCTTTATTTGTGTCGGTCCCCCGCCTGGTGCTTTCGCGCAGCTTCCGGTGCGACTTTCACTCCGTCCATCTGCTGGAAATCATGAAGTTCTCCGTCATTGCTTTGGCCTTGGGCCTGGTTTCTCTCGCTTCAGCGCGCAGAAGCGCTCAGCATGTGGGCAAGAAACTCCCACAGCTCAAGAGAGCCCCGGCGCCTCACGCACATCCTGTCGTGCCGGAGCTCGAAAAGCGGGCAGCACCGCACAAGTTCTTGAATAACGCGACCAAAAGTGTGTTTCCTCAACTCAAGTGAGAGTGGGATCATGGCTGACCCATGGACAGAATATGCGGTCAATGGCACCGGAATTCCAGACGTGGATTTCGACGTGGGCGAATCCTATGCCGGCCTTCTGCCAATCTCCAGCGAAAAGAATGCTTCGGAGCTGTACTTCTGGTTCTTCCCTTCGTCGAACCCAAATGCGACCAACGAGATCCTGATTTGGTTGAATGGAGGTCCTGGGTGCAGCTCTTTGGAAGGTTTCCTGCAAGGTGAGTGGAATTGGAAGTTCGGCCTTGAGTCTCCCTTTTAACAGTCGTTGGTAGAGAACGGACCTTTCCTGTGGCAATACGGCACATTCAAACCAGTGCGCAATCAATGGTCGTGGACAAATCTGACGAACGTGGTTTGGGTTGAGCGTGAGTTTCACACCCGGCGATCGACGTTAAGAGTGGCGATCTAATCTTGGTGTAGAACCCGTTGGCACTGGCTTCACCCAGGGCACCCCGACGGCAACGTCCGAGAAAGATGTAGCCTCGCAGTTCCTCGGCTTCTTCAAGAACTTTGTCGAGCTTTTCTCGATGCAGGGCTACACGGTCTATATCGCAGGCGAATCCTATGCGGGCTACTATGTGCCTTACATCGCCGACGCCATGTTCAACGCGAATGACACCGAATTCTACAACATAAGCTCGATTATGATCTATGACCCGAGCTTGAGCTACGATGTGGTGCAAGAACATATTCCGGTGACTGCGTTTGTCGACTATTGGCTTCCGTTGCTCGACCTCAACGCTACCTTTGTCCAACAACTACATAACATGTCTGATGCTTGCGGATATACTGCTTTCATGGAGGAGAATCTAGTGTTCCCTCCCAAGGGACCCTTGCCGACCCCACCGAACGCCGATCTCAGCGATGACTCATGCGATACCTTCGATGCGGTCTTCTTCGCTGCATCAGCCATCAACCCCTGTTTTGATATCTACCAAGTGGCGACGACATGTCCACTGCTGTGGGACGTGCTTGGTTTCCCCGGCTCTTTCGACTATGTGCCTCAGGGAGCGTCGATCTACTTCAACCGCAGTGACGTGCAGAAGGCCATCCACGCTCCGCAGCAGGAGTGGCTTGAATGCACCGACGTGGACGTGTTTGTCAACAACACGGATAACTCGCCGCCGTCTGCTCTGAGCGTCCTTCCTGGAGTGATTGAGAGCGCTGACCGGGTCATCATCGGGCACGGCATTCTTGACATGATCCTGCTGTACAACGGCACTCTGCTAGCCATCCAGAACATGACGTGGAATGGTGCTCAAGGTTTCTCGGCTCCTCCATCACGCTTCGGGGACATGTACGTCCCATACTACACCGAGTTCGACTTCGAACTGGGCTCGACTGCTGGTTCGGGCTTTATGGGCAAGTGGCATACCGAACGAGGATTGACCCTAGCCACGGTTGAACTTTCTGGCCACATGATCCCACAGTATGCTCCCTCTGCCGCTTACAGAATGCTTGAATTCTTGTTAGGTCGGATTCCGAGCTTGGGCACCGTTGGACCGTTCACAACACTGCAGAGCACGAGCTACTGACCGTGTCGGCGTAACGACGGACAGCAATGAAGGGACATCGGATGTGGACGTAGATTGCAGGATGAAGCGTGATGTTAATATATAATGTGTATATATGACAATGCAAAAGTACTGGACCGATGCAGAAGCAGCTCGAGTTGACGTATGGATTGCAAGGCTGTCAGTATCATTCGCAAGGCTGCAGGTGGGTGCTGGTCATGTGACTTGTTGCACCACCTACCATCTCCCCTCGAGATCATCCAACTGTCAGACAACCAAACACCAGACTTGAACCGACCACCACCAGGACGCCTGTCAGACTCGGGCTGCCTGAAGAGGGCTGAGGATTGGTCAACTCGTTCACTTCACGGCCTCGCCATGATGATGTCCCACCAGCCCTCTCACCCTCAGCGAGCGACCCCACATTGATGCTCTCGCTACAATTTCGGCAGATCGTGGGGCACATTTTTTCGTGTGTTGGATGATCGCAATCGACCAGATCTTGCACGCAACGGAATCAGGACCGCGGGTGCTGACAGATACCTCTTCCTCACGATCCACCAACACCTCCGACTTTGATTCAACCGGCCAGCCCAGGAAACCCGTGGGGGAAAGCCCGACAACGATGCGATCGTGGCGAGCGGGCGAAGAGGCGGAGCTTTTATGATGATGCACTGGAGTCTGCGGACTGCGGGGACGGTCTTGGACGGTCAAATTCGTACGAGGCGAGGAGGTGCAGGATGTGCCACACGCACCACACCACAAGGAGCTCGCTCTGGATATGCTCCATTGGGCTTTGGGGATCAGCGTCGTGGATGGGGCTGCTCAGAACGACTTTCCCTTGGACAGGGCTCGAATGGATGATGGCCTGGGCCCCCGTTGGCTTCCTCTTACCGTGCGGACTATCTTCGCGGACACTGTGGGGTAGTTTTGGTTAAATGGGATGTTTGTGTCGTCGTGGCTCAGGTTGTTTTAAGTGGCCTCGCAACGGCTTCAGCGTCATCTTTCTCAACGCTCTTCACTGCACTTAGAAAACCCATATACCCTCCAGTGTCCGATAAAGCGTTCCTTCATTGGACTTGACACATATTGGTATTCAGCCAGTTGTTGCGTCGTTACTCTCTTCTCCCCTCGACATCGACTGGGCACAGCCTCTACAAGCTTATTCGTGCCTTCCCCCCATTGCCGATATCAACACCAAATTAAATAGCAAGCCACCTGAACAAACAACTGCTTTTGACTTGACCGACCATCCCCATATTACCGCCTTTAAACAACAGGGAGCCACAGATTCGAATCCAGCTGAAAGACACTCCCCACTCATTCCCACTTTGAGACGTCGGTGACAGAAACTCCCAAAAAGGCCACAATGAACAAACTCGAGGAGCTAAAGCATAACATCACTGAGGAGGCGTTGAAGAACGGCGACAAGGTAGGAGAATCATCGCCACCACCATCATTGCCTTCCGTGGCTTCCTGTCACACACTGAACTTCCTCCCCCACTCCAACAACTTCTGACCCTGCTTGCCCCTACAGCCAACATCCACCAACGGTGCCATATCGCGCGGACCAAGCCCCAATCGGGGCGCCTCCGTTCGCGATGTCGACGCACAAGGCCCAGACGCGGAGAGCAAGCGTGAGTGGCAGAAGAAACGCGGCATCGACCTCTCCAAGCAGGTCAGAATCACAAAGTTGAGCCACATGCGATATCAGCATCCCGACCTGAACAAGATCACGACGTTTCTGAGAGGTGAGTACTCGATGAGAATTTTGGGGGGTTGCTTGAGTCGACGCTCTACTCTACTTCCAGGCCCTTTCTTCGACGTCGATTTAACAAGCTTACTGACCCTCCTTTTCTTTCAGATTTCGGTATGCACGTGGTCAAGAAGGGCGAGAACGAGCGCTGGTTCCGTGGCTACGGCCCCGACCAATACGTCTACTACGCCCGCCAAGGTCCCAAGAAGTTCCTGGGGGGTGCCTTTGAAGTCGAGTCCAAAGAAGAACTCGAAAAGGTGTTGAAGCTCCCTGGTGCCACAGTCCTCACGAACGGCATCGAAGAGATGACAGATGCCCCCGGAGGCGGATATATCGTCACGATCGCCGATCCAGAGGGCTTCAACGTGAGTTTTGTTTATGGACAAGCAGAGATCAAGGAGGAAAGGCAGAAGCCTGGTAAACTGCTGGTGAATGATGAGACGGATAAGCCCAGAGCAAAGGCTTTCCAGAGATTTGAGCCTGGACCGGCCGCTGTCCACAAGGTAAGTGGCACCATGCAATCTGCATGATCGATCGAGCCTGGAGTTGACCCTTTGTTTCTCTATCAGCTGGGCCATTTCGGCATCAACGTCGACAACTTCCCCGCTCAGATGGACTGGTACACTCGCCACTTCAACATCTACCCCAGCGACATCCTTTACGTGCCCCAAGATTCCATCGACCCTGCCACCGGCAAGCCGGGACGCAAGGAAGTCGCCCTCTTCGGCTCCATTGACCGCGGCCAGAAATGTGTCGACCACCATACCTTTTTCATGACCACCACCGTTCCCGGCAAGGAGAAACACGTGCACCACTCCTCGTATGAAGTGCACGACTTTGACACTCAGCTCCTGGGTCATCAATGGCTCGAAGAGAAGAAATATGAACCAGTCTGGGGCGTCGGGCGACATATTCTGGGGTCCCAGATCTTCGACTACTGGTGGGACGTCACGGGGTTCATGGTCGAGCATTACGCTGATGGGGATCTCGTCAACGAGGACACGCCCATCGGATATGGGCCCGCGGAGCACGAGGGACTGGCGGTCTGGGGACCCGAGGTGCCGCAGACGTTCTTGGAGTAGAAGGCGAAACAGATAGATTGTGCAACCATTGAAGAGAGCATGTGACCAGGAGAGATTTCTGGTGAAGACGTGAAAATTAGGGACTCGTGTCCATGCAATGCACCTGAGGGAACAACAGGAGGATAGGAGGAAAAGGTGTGCCGACAGGTGGTGCTCATGAATATATGGTAGGTCTCGGGAGCCGACTCACTGAGACATCGACCAAGCTCACAACCAGGCGTATGTGGTCGCTGGGGACGTCCGACGGGGTACTACGGAATTGCTTACGTTTGGCGAGAACATGGTGTGCATGGGTAGGTAGGTATGCTGCTTGTGCTGTACTGTGATGAATCATGCGGCGACATGCTACAGACGAACGAAACAAGTTGAATAATAACACTCTAAAACCTCTGTCGTTTCCCCTTCCCTTCCCAGATGCAATCCTGTGTTCTGCACGAGTCAGATCCTCGGTCAGGATTACTATGGTTGTCTCTTTTTACGTCGGGGCTTGGGAGACAACGCGCTGCTTCAGATTCTTCGTACCCGTATATATATATACATGCATGTGTTTCTAGAGAGACAGCATAGACGGAAGTGTTATTTACGTCTGAGTCCGTATATTGACTTAGGCTCGAGGGATATGCCTACAACGAATGTGCTTTCTATATTCGGCGCGAGATGCTGGAAATGACTGCTACCCTTATCAAGCCCAAATGTGTGCGTGCGTGCGTGTGTTTGTGTGTATGCATATAAATATATTTGTGTCCTGCTGGCTGGCTGGCCAAGTTCAGTACTCTGTGTCCATGTATCCATTGTATCCAGTGTATGTGTCTGCACTGGCTGATCCAGCGATACCAGGGCTTCTGCTCCGGCTTCCTTGCCCGGCCGCTTTTCACGGAGAGCATATATGTATGAATAAGCTGTATGGTGATCACGCACGATTCATATATGCTTAGTGTTTTGGGGGAACCTCCATCTAAGGCACAACGCGCAAACAGGCCTAGCCCTGGGCCCCCAGGAGCAGCACCAACAAAGCTTCCGTCCGAGTCGACCGTCTACCACTCCTCGTACCGCACCTTGTTGACCAGGGTGCCGATCTTCTCGATCTCGACCCGGATGTCGCCGCCGTGCTCCAGCACCACGCGCGGGCTGCGGAAGAAGCCGATGCCGGCGGGCGTGCCGGTCAGGAAGATGGTGCCGGCCTCGAGCGTCGTGCCTTGCGAGAGGTAGCTGATTTGCTTGGCGATGGGGAAGATCATGTCCCTGTGAGGTTGTCGCACGGACGACGTGTCAGTAATGGTACGACACACGGACGGAAGATAGAGGACAGATGCCTAATACGCCGGGGATAGACGGGAGGGGATTTCGCGTCATAGGGAGGACAGCGTCGTGTAGAAACGCAACCCGTGAGGAGAAGTGCAAGAGACATACTTCGTGTTCCCGTCCTGCACGACCTGCCCGTTGTATATCGCCTTGATCTTCAGGCCCTGCGGGTCGGCGATCGCGTCCTTGGTCACCAGCACGGGCCCCAGCGGACAGCTCCCGTCCAGGCCCTTGGAGAACGACCACTGCGTGGTCAACATCTGCATCGTCCGCGCCGACACGTCGTTGCTGCACGTGTACCCCAGCACGTAGTCGAGCGCCTTCTCCTCGGGGATGTCCCGGCCGGTCTTGCCGATCACGACGCACAGCTCGGCCTCGTAGTCGGACGTGCCGTCCTGCGCGGCCTTGGGGATCGGGATCGCGGCCGGGTAGGGGTCGGCCAGCGCAGTGCGCGGCTTGGTGAACAGGATGGGCGCCTTGGGGAGGGCCATGTTGGCTTCCTGCATATCCCCCAATATCCCACTTGTCAGTATCTCTAGGTTGTAGTCAGGGGTGGTGGAGGGCGGGGGGGAATTGGGATCTCTCGCCGTGTCTGCGGGTGATGCATAGGAAAAGGGAAAACTGAGTGAATGACTTGACTGACCTTTGCATGATCCATATAGTTCAGCCCCAGACACCGGATGTAGTTGCAGTCCTCCATCGACACGGGGCTCAGCAGCTGCTTGACCGTGTAGACGTGGTCGGTGACCTCGGGCGCGAATATCGAGCCGTTGATCAGGTAGGCTTTGATTTCCTTGCCCTCGACGCTGTCCAGACCAACATCCCGAGAGGTGTCGACCAACTGGCCCAGGTGGACGCGGTTATCCTCGCTCGCAACGAAGCGGATGATGTGTGTTGCTTTCCCCATTTTCTGCTGGATCTAGAGTATTTCTTTTCCTTTTTTTCCCCCGTCGTTTTGTGTAGACTGGTAGGTATATTCTAATCCAACAAGAGCACCGATGGCCAGAACAAGAAAGCTTTTGGGGCAAATATGGAGAGTCTCAAAAGAAGGAGATCAGATCCAACCAAGCAAAAGGGAAGAAATAAAAACCAGAGAGGAGAGAAAGAGAGAAAGATGTCCATTGCGCAACCTCATCTCACAACCACCACACGGTCATCCAGGGCCCCACGGTGTTTGGAAGGGCAATCGTTCCCCTCAATCCAAACAAAATGTCATGGTGTGGTTCGTCGGCACGTTGTCGGCGCGATCAACCCCCCCTCAGGAAATCCCCCACGACGAGCCCTTGGTTCGACCGTGGTTTGTGGAAGTGCCGACCCAGGGCGAGACTGGTGGGGGAGTTGGAGCACGGAGCTGGAGTGGCAGGGTGGATTGTGGGAAAGTGGCCGATGTTGGAACGCCGTGTTTGGCCGTGCCACCCCTCCAAGGCCACATATACGGAGTCTCTGTCTTTCCCCCGTGCTGGTTTCTTGGTCGCTGGGTCGGATCCGAGCCTCGTTGCGCTCTGTCGAACATGTATGTTAGTGTTCGTCTTTCGCATCCGATTTCTCAACGTCGACATCGGGAGCCTCCAAGGAGACGACGTTTAGCCTCTTCGTTTCCGCATCTGAAGGGATCAGACCAATGAATGTCCCACTGCCTCGTGGTCGCAAGGCCGGCGGCGAAATACGGTAGCCATCTCTCAAGGAGAACTTCGGACCACGGCCAGAAGGGGGGCCTTGGGCGACATCTTCGGCCTGAAGCATCGACACAGTTCCGCTCCTTGAGAAGGATTTATCAGCAGAAGGGGATCAAAGTTTGAATGATTGTTTCAGCACTGGAAGAGTCTGTGTTGGGTTCATAGTTTCTCTGAGGCTGTCGCTCGAAACTGACTTGAATCTCGGCGCAATTTGCTCTTTGGTTGGTCGAGATAGTCACCTGCATGCATTGTCAACAGGATTGGCGGATGAATTTTGGCGGATGAATTTTGGAACACATGGTCTCCTTGCGTCTTCCCCAATGACACAGACCTCAGGAACGTGGTCTAAACCCGAGGAAGAGTATGGTAAGTAGTCCATGGTGGCCGTCCTGATCGTATGGTGATTTTTTTCAACGCACTACCCTTCCAGTCCAGCCAACTTTGCGGGGAGGCCGGAGCAACTTGGCGCCATAACGTCCTGGCATGGGCATGATGGGCTCTGAGAATATTCCGCATCAAATGGTTCGAGGTGTCCTCGTGGATGGGGAGTACTCTCAGACGACTTTGCAGGTAACGTGCCAAGCGCTGGGACTCTATCTGGAACGATCAGGTCAGGATTCTGCAGAGTAGGCATGCTCTGGGAGCGTGCCGCAATGAACCAATGGGGTCTTTTGTGAGACAGAAAAAGATGAGCAAAAGTACAAACGAGGGCCGAATATCTGATGACATTGATGCCGAGTCAGTGACTTGGGTCGAGCTCTTATACGTTGATGGTAATGGTTTTCAGATGGATCAAGGCATGTGGGCGAATCCGTCTCCGTCTTGGACTGAGCAGTTCCCATCGGCCAAGGTGTCAATCACTGATCGTATACCGTACATGAGCCTCTTGACTTGGTTCACTATCACCTTTGAGTTAGTCAACCCCTTTTCTATATGGACACCAGTCTACACCAATTCGAAGCCAGGGCGGATCAATGGTATCGCATGCTATATATGGATCCAGACAACCCGAGACTGGGCTTGACTTGTCTACATGATTCATGTTTTGTCTGGTCTTCTCTTAATGGACCTGTCACTGCCCACTTCTCACAGTATTTGTAACACTCATGTGGTCGACAGCACCCTCCTTCTCTGTCAGTAGCCCACCGCATCGTCTCTTGCGAGGTCCCGATACCTCCGTCGACACAGTGTTTTGTCGCCCTATATCCCATCAGAGACCACTAGTCATTAGCCTTTGCAACCGCTCTCGACCTAAGCACAGGCCGGACAATTCCATTCCACACTTCATCTGCAGCTGGCAAGATGTGGTCGATTATTCAGAGCCAGGCGTGGAATTTTGGGAAGGTCTCGACTTCCAGAAACGCGTGAGCGAGAATCGAATATGAAGACAAATGGAAATACATGCTCGCACGTAGCAGCCTGTTGGAGTCAAGCGTCGTCCTGAGCTGCCTCATTTGTCACGTTCGGTTATCCATATTTTTCTTTCGCTCTTGCAGCAATGTGGCCATTCCGCCAATGAGCGAAGAGGCTTTTCGGGGTCGAGAACGATGGCTAAAGGCGTCTCTGTGAGTGGCAGTCGGATATCGACGGGAGAGATGACTACTGCTTGTTTTTTGCGGGGATGTTCAGCGTGCATGGTCAAGTTGGAGAGTGCTGGGCCAGAAGCTGAGGCGAGTCCCGCCATTGATCGACAGCTCCCAACATCGGCAGGCGTAGGGGAGGTTTCGATGGTCCATCTGAAGGGGCGATATATTCAGATCCTGACGACCCTGAGAGAAGAGTCGTGCAAAGAGCAGAGTTGAGGAGATTTGCTAGAATCGAGCAGGGATGGCTGCGTCTAGGCTCGGAGGGGAAATATGATATCAAGGTAGTTCAAGTTTTTCCTGTCGTGGACGTCATCAATGGACTTCGAGACACGAACACGCACCCTCGCATCCTCGACTCTTCACACCCTTGATCGCCTCATTCGCTCGAATGCTCTTCTTTGGTATCCATGGCCTCCACCTCGCCGCCCTCCGCTGCTGCCCTCTGTCCTATCAAACCTATTCCAATGCACTCCGTTCAAGGCCGATCTGTCGATTGCGTCCTCGGGAATAGTTATTTGTGATACCGCCTCCCATCGCTTGTCTGACTGTGTCGCTCCAACTATATAAGAGAGGATTCTCTGCCTGAGCTTGCAATTTCTTCATGGAGGCAGTCCAGAGGATCATTCAAGCTCCTATTGAAGTCCTCAAATCTACCATGGCAAACGATACTTCCTTTGCGGCACATGTCGCCCACCAGTTCAATTCATACGAGCAGGACCGCCAGATGGACTCCAAGCAAACCATCTACGCCACCAGGTCAGTGAAACCAACATCTCCTTGCCATAGCTTTCTGAACAGTTGCCTGACTCCGTCACAGCAATGGTGTACCCGTGGCTCATCCCTATGAAGCTCAACGAGCGGGCGAGAGTGGCCCCCTCCTCCTCCAAGACTTCCACCTAATCGACCTCATTTCCCACTTCGACAGAGAGCGGATCCCAGAGCGTGTTGTCCATGCAAAGGGCAGCGGTGCCCACGGTTTCTTCGAGTGTACCAACCCTGCCGATGACCTGACGTGCCTCGACATTTGGAGCACCAAAGGCAAGAAATGCCCAGTCACCGTCCGATTCTCTACCGTCGGTGGCGAGGCTGGCTCGCATGATTGTGCCCGAGACCCTCGAGGCTTCGCAGTCAAATTCAGGACTGAAGAGGGTAACTGGGACTTGGTCGCCAACAATACTCCGGTCTTTTTCTTGAGAGACCCCGCCAAATTCCCTCATTTCATCCATACGCAAAAGAGACATCCCTCCACGCATTTGACCCACGCCGACGACTCAACCATGTTCTGGGACTATCTATCAAACAATCCCGAGAGCGTTCATCAGGTTATGATCCTGATGAGTGACCGGGGTATCCCTGATGGTCTTCGCTTCATGCACGGCTATTCCGGCCACTCTCTGAAGCTCGTGAAAAAGAACGGCGACTGGGTCTATTGCCAGATTCATATGAAGTCTATGCAGGGCACGAAGTTCCTGACCCAGGAAGAGTCTGCCACCAAGTCTCCAGATCACTCCCAGAAGGATCTATACGAGGCCATCCAACGTGGCGACTACCCTAAGTGGTCAGTGGAGATCCAAACCATGACTCCCAAGCAGGCCGAAGAGGTCTGGGCGAAGCAAGGCATCAATGTCTTTGACTTAACCCACGTGTGGCCTCAGAAACAATTCCCCTTGCGTAAAGTGGGCGAGTTTACACTGAACGAGAATTGCGTCAATTACTTTGCCGAAGTCGAGCAGGCGGCATTCAGCCCTTCCCACATGCCTCCCGGTATCGAACCTTCGGCCGATCCAGTCTTGCAATCCCGTCTCTTCTCATACCCAGACACTCACCGCCACCGTGTGGGTGCAAACTACCAACAACTCCCCATCAACACTGCCCGCACAGCCTACAAATACGGAAACTTCCAACGAGATGGCCCCATGGCATTCTACAATCAAGGTGGTCGTATGAATTATCTCTCTTCCATCGACCCCATCCAATTCCGCGAACGAAGCGTCGATTACGATAAGACTCATGGTCATTTCCAAGGCCATGCCATCTCCTTCCTTTCTCAGATCCGACCCGAAGACTTCAACGGCCCACGCGCCCTATGGGAGAAAGTTTTCGATGAGCCTGCACGACAACGTTTCATTAACAATGTTACTGGCAAGATGGAAGTTTGCCCGAACAAAGAGATCTTGAAGAGGCAGATTGCCATCTTCCGTGAAGTCAGCGAGGACCTTGCTCAGCGACTAGAGAAATCGACAGGCATTAAAGGTTATGATGGGATCAAAAACATGAAGTTTAATGGTACTCATAATGGCATGAGTTCAGATCCTGCGATCAAGCAAGCCAACGGTGTCAAACCGACCACGTTTAGCAACGACACCAATGGAGCACCGACCAAGGGTTCACACAACAGTATCCCGAATGTTGCATAGAGGATCTAAGTATTGAGAGAACGAGAGTGTGCTGGCAGGGATGATACACAAAAGGATGAAATACCCGTCATGGTAAGGTGTATTACCAAGATGTCATCTTGGCCTTGACAAAAATTAGAGAGTATTCAAACTCCGTCAACACTTGATAGTCTCTAAAGACTTCCAATACAAAGGCTTTCCATGAACAGGGAACCAGGACCAAAAACTGTAAAAATGCAAAAAACAATCAACAGTCAGGATTCCCATCTGGTCACCCACGATAGTACTAACTGACCGGCATATGGCTTAAGTACGGCTGAGCGAACGGGAAGCCCTGCTTTCCATATCCTATGGTCGATTGCGGAAGACTATGTTTGAATACAATATATATATCTGTAGACCATTATGTTTCCTAATGCTTTTGCTTCGAAGGCGTCAACAGAGACCGCGTGGTAAACATACAAATATATACGTATATATATGCAACCGCCGAGGGTAGGATCGATCATTTCATTGTCCAAGATCTCTCAGACGGAGACTGAACACTAGGGCTAGAGGTCACGCCAACTCCAGTAGCGCAACTACCTATCTCATGAGGTTGTTGAGGGTGAACTTCGTATTGACACTTTCTCAGCCCGTTCATCCATGGAGATAATTTACATGGTCACCTTGGTACGGCGTCCAAGCGCAGAGATGTTCTTCCAGATCTATTTTAGTGCGAGCTGGGCTATATGATGAAGCATTGTCCTTCTTTCTCCTGGATGTATTGTAAAGAAAGGACGAATACAAAGATGAGGCTAGCTACAAAGTGCGGAGTAGGACCGACGAGGCTGGTCGGAAGAGTTGCCTCAATTGAATTCGTTACTTCTTGATCCCAGACGAATTAGACAACATGAAGCCTGTCTCATACTCAACACTACCCACGAAGACATTCACCAACCTGCGACACAGAAGGAGAAGACAGTCGACCTGCTTACTGTGCTTGAGAAACCCTAACCCTAACCCTAGTCGCCAACGATCCCGGTGTTACGCGTCTGAAATATTGCCAGACCGCGTCGTGTCGACGTGTGCAATGCCAGGCGAGTGCAGCCATGAGACGTCAGACCCATAACCATGGCGACACCAACTAAATCCCAGAACATTTCCACCCCCAAGCCGCAGCTCTCCCCTCCGAACAGGCTCATGGCCTCCCCTCGACCAGGCACCTCGGGCAACTCGAATCGTCCCCTCGCCTACAAATCTCCGGCCGTCAAGACTCCAGCCTCAGCGCACGGACATCATGTCAGTGTCTCCTCGCAACCCAGTTCCACACCCCTAGCCGCAACTGCCGTTCATGACGATCTGCTTGCTCTCAACTCGCCCGCCGCCGCTCTCATCAACTCTCTGGGCACTACAGGACTTACACCTTTGGGGAGTGGTGCGGAGGGACTGGGCATCAGCACAGCTCTACCCGGCGGGCCCGTTAGACCTGCTCATCCCCCTGTAAACCCGGAGGTCGAGCGACTGCATAGAGCGGAGCTGGTTGTGGGTTTGCTCAAGAGTCGGGTTGGCGGGCACGGGATAACGCGCAATGGGGTGGAGAGAATAGCACAGTTGCAAGGTTTCACCACTCTATGGGACGATGACAATCTGACGATTGCGGGAAACTGTGTTGACCTCGAGATCAACTTCGAAGCGGGTGGCAGAGACGACGTTAGAGACGTGAGTCTCAAACTGAATATATCGGACGGCGTGTCCGACAACGAGGAGCCTCAATTCCAAGAACACGGCACCCAGGTTATCAAGGGTAATCTGCAAAATCTCGCCGCTGTCGACGAAGCGCCAAGATGGAGGTCTCTTGATGCCTTTGCAGCGAATCTACAGTACCTCAGCCAACTCGATAGAATCGAGAGTGGAACGCCCTGCTTTAACGCCGTGGGAGACCTCTACAATGCGTTCCAAACGATCTGGAATGCTGAGAAGGAGAGGTTCAAGGGGCGGGCTTCTCGGCAACACCTGCGACAGGGTGCTGTCGGTAGACCTGTTATGGACCGAAAGCCCAGATTGGGCCTGGCTCTGGACTACTGGACCTCTCCAGACGAACCAAGTCAAAAACCCGAAGCCGTTTACAATGATATGATTGACGATGCCACAAACCTCTACACGGCACGAATATCCTGTGAGCCTGGTCTACCCTCGACTGCGATCACAAAGCAATGGGTCTCGGACCGAGTTCTGATCGAGGATCCAGAGGCGATGCTGGATGTTGAGAACGAGAAATGGAAGCCGGACTGGCAAGACCCTGGACAGGATTCGGTGGGCTCAGATCCATTAACTAAGGTGGAGGCAGATGATGCAGCCGCAGACAAGCCGACAGACGTGGTCTCAGGCGTCCTGGATATGCATTTCTCATGCACCCTGGAGCCAGAGATTTACCTCCCCATCAACGTAGCTGCCAACTTGAATGTGGAGATTGCTATGGTGGATATAAAGCAGGAGTTGGCCTTAACATATCAAGCGGCGTTGCAAAAGCACTTCAACGGTGCCGGTGTCAATGGCGTCAGACAAGAGAGATGGCTTAGAGTCTTACCAATTCCCGATGACAAAGCCTCAGGTCGAATGCGACGGCATTCGTATGCCCTACAGTCCTCCCAGCACGCCCCGCCTCTATGGTGTTATCCTGTGAGGCACCTGAAATTCAACCATCCCAAACAAGTTGCGGCCGTATTGCCTGTTTTGCGGCAGTATGCCGTCGTCTGGGGTATTCTGCGGAGCTTAGTTGAGTATGAGGATAGTGCCCAACAGGCCAGCCCTTTAAGGACGACCCAATCCAACGGAATGCAGAGCTCAGAAGTCACTCGGCGACCCTTGAAGCGAACGAACAAGAAGTCTCCCGGCTCCGACCTCGATGATCTCGCCAAACCGAACGGTGGGCTGGATCCCGACCAGCCGTTGCCCATTGACGTGAACATGGATGTGCTCTCTGATATTTCGAAGGCAAGGCTTGATGTGTACATCCCAATGCGCGGGCCGCTTAGAAGAGTACAGAAGATCCCATTCATTTTCTTGTCCTTGAATATCTGTCCCGGTGGAGGGATTGAGGTTCGAGACTTGCGTGGAATCGACAAAGATGGCATGGACAGTGGAAGCGGCCGGTCCAAGATCATTCGGATTTTGGAGGCAACGGAAGATATTGGTCTGACGGTCGAATGGCTTCTGGAACAGGCTGCTGCACGCAGCTGAGAGCTTTAAAAGCTTGCAGACTACGTCCACAAGCCGAATATCTGAGCTTGTTTGCTTGAGCAACAATACAGTCTGCTTGGATAAGCGCCATAGCATTTGCGTAAGGATTCTTCAATACCAAGGGCACGCAGGACCGCTCGAATGCATCAGGCCCGGCTGAAGAGCACAGGATAACCCCCTAACGCATCTTCAATCCCTCCATGTCTCCTGATAAGCTACGTGGGCCTCAAATGTTCAGAGTAGCCGCTAATAATGCAGGCAAGGCTGGCCTGACGTCCTACATACATGGCACCGAGGACGGAATTTCCTATCTAGGAAGTCCGGAGCTGATGAAACCACAGCTTAACGGATCCCTGTAAGCTGAGAGTTCTTCTAGAAGGAATTCTGGGGTTCTATTATTCATGTCCCATGGGGAACGGCAAAGCATCGGCCACCCATACCGACCTCGCTGCGTCCTTCTCCATCACGCGACGGATTGTCCAGTAGCTTACACCCTGGTCCAGACTCCCAATGGAACCCTGGTATCAAGGACGCGGAGACTTGTTGTCGCATTCTCCTACGTGCAGTCAGTCCAACACTCTCTATCATCCAAAATGGGAGGGGTGCATCTCTAGCCTGTCACGCCAGTCTCGCAGAGCGCCAGGTTTCCAGCAATCATATATATCCTTTTGTTGTTTTCCTACAACTATCAAATACTTATCCTAAGCTATAGCCCACAGGCATACGACGCAGATCGCATATTTCGGGTTGGAGAATCCAGATTTGTGTGCGACGTCCCACATTACGCCAGTTCGTAAGGGGGCAATTCTCCATGAACCAATTGGCACCTCGACATGGATCTGCCGTACCTGGGGATTCAATCAGATCCCGGCCCGGCACGCCACCGACATCATGAGGAAGGCCCCTTTGGGTAATCCGAATGGGCGCTCTATTCAATGCGGCGATCCATGATGCAGCGACTCGAAGGACCTTTTCTCCGCATTTACTGCAAGACGGTCTCCATCGATGCAACATTACGAGGGAGGAAATATGGAGCAACTGCTGCATCTTTCTTGCCTGGGACTATACCCCGGGGCTCCAACGTCTTTCTGTCTTCCGCAGTCGCGGTTTTGCTGTTCCGATCCTAGTGTCGTTGTCCTGCGGTCGAGATACAACCATTATAAGAACAGCATTTTCCACCGACCTCCTACTCTTCTGTCTCCCATCAAAATAGCTTCTCGATTCTATTCACAAAGTCGTGCACCATGAAGCTGTTCAACAAGCGCTACTTGGGCTTTCGCGGCCTCCGGCTCAACATCGCCATTGGTGTCATTGCCGGGATCGATTTTCTGTGAGCATGCATGCCGCACAACCCGAAGCCTTTTCAAGTCTCGACTAACACTTTCGCCAGGCTGTTTGGCTATGACCAAGGCGTCATGGGAGGGCTGTTGACGCTCCCGGCCTTTACGTCTGTTTTCCCGGAGATCGACACGACCAAGGAAGGCCTGCGAGGCCTGACCCAGAGTCAAGCCAACCACAAATCCACCATCCAGGGCATCTCGATCGCCTGCTACAACGTCGGCTGTTTCTGCGGCGCCATTGCCTGCATCTGGCTCGGCGACATCCTGGGCCGACGCAAAACCATCTTCCTCGGCTCCTCGATCATGGTCGTGGGCGCCACCCTTCAGGCGTCGGCCTTCAGCCTCCCACACTTGATCGTTGGACGGATCATTACAGGAATGGGAAACGGTCTCAACACTTCTACGGTTCCAACGTGGCAGTCTGAATGCTCAAAGTCACATCGGAGGGGCCAGCTCGTCATGGTCGAGGGCGCCCTAATCACAGGAGGCAGTAAGCATATTTCCCCTTCTTGTCTTTCCAATTCTATATACTTACACCCGCGAAGTCTGCCTCAGTTATTGGGTTGACGTAGGCTGTTCATTCATTCAAAACCAAGCTTCGTGGCGGTTCCCTATCGCCTTCCAGATCGTTTTTGCTCTGATCATCCTTTGCTTCATCCTTGAGCTACCCGAGTCTCCAAGGTACCACCCTCAATACTCCCAATACTCTTACTTCCAGGCTAATATCCTGCAGATGGCTTATCCTCAAAGGCAGAGAGGAAGAGGCTACCCAGGTGCTTGCAGCCCTCTCCGACAAGCCGGCCGATGACAAACTCATTCTTTCCGAATTTGCTGCAATCAAGGACACAGTACTTGAACAAGAGAAGGCAACATTCCGCGACCTGTTCACCATGGATGAGAACCGACATTTACACCGTGTTGCTCTCGCATACGTCAATCAAGTCATGCAGCAAGTATCTGGCATCAATTTGATCACTTATTACGCCGCGACGATCTATCAAAACGAAATCGGTCTTTCGCCTTTCATATCCCGCATTCTGGCAGCTTGTAACGGCACGGAATACTTCCTGGCATCATGGATTGCGGTCTTCATCATCGAGAAAGTCGGCCGTCGAAAGCTTATGTTGTTTGGCGCCGTGGGTCAGTCGGCTTCAATGATAGTCCTCGCGGTTATGACCAACATTGGAGGCAAAGGCCCAGGAATAGTCGCTGCAATGTTTCTGTTCATCTTCAACACCTTTTTTGCTGTGAGTACTCTTCCCTCGACAAATACCCCATGCGCTTCGCAAAGGACGTTAAAGACCGCTTTGAGCTCTGCGATGATATACGCTAACCTCGATCTACAGGTCGGATGGCTGGGAATGACCTGGCTGTACCCCAGTGAGATCGTGCCACTGAAAATCCGTGCACCATCTTCGGCGTTGTCTACGTCTGCCAATTGGGTTTTCAACTTTATGGTGGTCATGATCACCCCCGTTAGCTTCAGCTCGGTACGTATCTGCTTCATCCAAGACTTTCTGTCCCCAGAAAGACAAGATACTTTTACAGGGACCACTGAAGAATTTGCCCAGGCTAACAGATGTATGTACAGATCAAATGGAAAACCTATCTGGTATTCGCGGTTATGTGAGCACAATGAGTTCTGCGCTTGGTTGATGTCAAACTAACCTGAATCTCCAGCAACGCGGCTATGGTCCCAGTCGTATACTTCTTCTACCCAGAAACCGCCTATCGTTCTCTTGAGGAAATGGATACGATCTTCCACAAGACGAAGAACATCTTCACGGCCGTGTGGACTGCTAAGCATGAGCCCCACCGCTATGGCAAGCGTGGAGAAGTCCTGATCGACTACGAGGAGACGGGTGAGCACCAGCGACGACTGAGCAGCGCGGCGCGCCGAGGCAGCGTCATCAGCACTCGGAGCCAGACCGAATACGTCTCGGAGAAAGGGACGCACCACGAAAATGCGTAAAGAGATAAAATTACCCAGTACGAGGACTGCGGTTTGTGTTTGATTTCGCCGATGGTCAGTTGCCAGAATAGGGGCACAGCCTTATGATGAACTACGCGGACGGGGGTTGAATGCGCCTATCACGGTGCACGGTGGTTTATGCTGGAGAAAGAGATCCCGGGCCTCGAATATCCGCTTTATGGGCTTCGGCTGGTTCGAGACTAGGAGAATACAGGCGTTGCCAGAGTTGCATTTTCCCATTTCCCATTTACAGAGTGAGTCTGCGCACATACAAACGAAGTGCGTGTTATTCCTTGTTCGATGAGAACCTGTGCAGATTGAGATGCTTTCCTAGGGGACAAGAAATGGCTCTCCTGGGCGCCAGCGTTCAAAAAGACTACCGAATAAAACTCCAATGCAGAGGCGAGGCTTCGCAGTTCCAGGGACGCCATTCGCCCGAATAGGAAAGTTCTTGGGATGCTGGACGCAGCCGTGATGCCATCATCCACCTACCTTTAACTCAGAGGGACAAGTGTTTTGGGCGAATCCGCGACTGAAGATTCGGGCTGATGACATATCTATGCAGCGCTGGTCGCGGGATTTAGCTATAACCTCAAGGCCATTGGCAAGCAATTATGTAGCATGTGTTGCGGAGGTTAGTTCACGCCCGTAACCCCCGCAGATTAATGGCATTTATCATTGTGTCAGCACACATGAGGGGTCCCTCGTCCCTAGTCACGGTGTGCAATGCAGCTATTAGTGATCAACTTCTAGACGTGGTTGACAGCGCGTATAACAGAGGCCACCAATTTCTTGCCTCTTTAGACCAGCTACGGCATCCAGAAAGTCGGTTTGTCATTCTAGGTTTCTTCTCAAGACATCTTCAACGTCAACCGCAAGCCTAGAACAAGCAAACAGATATATCTAGGAGGACGCTCCGTCTGTCAATTCTCATCTACGACCATCAGCCCACAGCAGAACTGGCGTTCCGATCTATTACACGTATCCAACTCGCCCGCAACCACCTTTCGCCAAAGCCCCTCGCCAATCCCACAAGAACAATGTCCGAGTAAGTGAAACACGTTTCCTTGTTCTTCGGGCATTTTACTAACACGTCCGCAGCCTAGCAGAACTTGGTTCCAAACTCTTCAGTCCCAACCCAGAGTCTCGACCCAAGATCGTTGGGACTGAGAAGCGCGTCCGGGGGGTCCTCAATGGCAAATACATCTTTGACACCACTGCCGCCAAGCTAGTGTGGGAGAATGGATACTATCCCATGTACTGGATCCCGAAGTCCGACTTCCTCGACGCCGCAAAGTTTGCAGACGACAAGCCGATCTCTGGCATCAACTCTTCAACCTCGACCCTCAGCGTCGGCAACAAATCGGTGCCTTCACTCATCGTCCCGGACTCGTTCAACTCCGAACTGGTGGGCTACGTGAAAATCGATTTCAAGGCCCTCGACGCTTGGTACGAGGAGCAGGTCCAGGTCCTCTATCACCCCAAAGACCCCTACCACAGAGTCGACCTCCTTCCTTCGGGACGACAAGTGCGCGTGGAGATCGACGGCGTACGTCTCGCCGACACCGGCTCCGAGGGCGGCGTCATGTCCCTCTGGGAGACCAATTTCCCGGCTCGCTGGTATCTGCCTCGGACGGCAATCAACTGGGAATATCTCACCCCGAGCGACACGCACACGGGGTGCCCGTACAAAGGAGAGGCCAGCTACTACAATGCCGTGATCAACGGCAAGGAAGTCAAGGACGTGGCCTGGTGGTACAAGAACCCGACGCAAGAGAGTGCCGGCATCCTCGGCATGCTGTGTTTCTACCCGAACAAGGTCGACACCTGGGTCGACGGGAAGGAAATCGCGAAAATCGGGATGCCCGTCAAGAAGTAGGAGAAAACCGAAGGAAGCGGGCGAAGACCTGCAATTGAGGTGTGAAGTGAGATGCGAAGGAAGCCAGCCCCAAAATCCAAAGGGGTTTGCAACAGGATAGCTAGCTATAATGAGATCAATACTCGATACTCCTAAACCCTAACCCTAGCCCTAGCCCTAGCCCTAGCCCTAGGGTTAATGAATAGGTGTCATGCACCTGTGAGAAGTAAGGCTGAGGAGTGCAAGGCTGAACCTTAGCGCACCTCGTAATTATCAACTGAAGACGTCATTCAAGCAAGCTTCAGAGCTCTCCGTCAAAATAATTTGGGAATCTCCCCAAAATGTGAACCAACACCCGCACTTCTACGTCCCTCTTGGTGTTGCTTGCAGACTGATTACAGGACAATATGAATATAGCGACAGGAAGACAGGTACTGCGGCGCGCACCGCGACTATTTGTGCAGCTGCGGGCCGTGTCGACGTTGAGCAATAACCCTCACATAGTAAGTTCTACATATCTCCCGTGCAAGCTCGAACTTCTTCAGCACTAACTTGAGTGATTGAGTAGTATGTTTTTAAGGATCCTCAAAACCCTTCCTCCCATATCCTGTCTCTCCTCCCCACGGATCCCCCTACGCTTTCCCTCGCCATTGGTACCTCGTCACAAGTCCCGCCCACGCCTCGATCCTTTACCGAAAACCCCAGATTCCTCCCTATACTGCACGCGGTCATCGGCGAGAACGCCTCCTCCGACCCCGAGGTCCAGTCGCAAGCCGCGGTGATGATATCTTCATCCGGCTCCTCGCTATTCCAGACCGCGCGCCGCCAGCAGACCGGCTCTTCCGGGGCCAGCGACCAGGGCGGCCACGGCAGCGCGGGCCGGGGAGGCTGGGTGCACGTCTCGGACCAGCGACGCATCCCGGACTTTGGACGCATTGCGGAGCCGGAGGATATTTTCGGCAGCGTCGAAGTCGATGGGCGCGGGGACTTTGTCGACGGCCACGGAGGGTATCAGCCCAGTGGGACGTACCGCATATGCACGAACGATGGGATCCTGGGCTTGACGGACTTCATGAGGCAGAAGTTGGTCGAGAGGCTACAGGTGCAGGAGGCGGCGGAGAGAAACAAGCAGTGATGACCTCTGGTACGATACTGCTCCGCTCGAAGGGCAGAAATGTGAAGACGTATTTTGGAACATGGGAGAACAGCCGCAGACCTCGATCTCACACTGTCAACGTGTGAAGCTCGCATGGGCGATTTCCACTTCAGATCGCAACACGCAACATGTGCGGTTGCTGAAGCTCTGCAGATCAGGACGACTGAAGCGGCGCCGCCGTGGAGACTCAGCATGTCAGCGCTGGCTTGATCTCAGATTCCTTCACATGAGAACAAGGCTCAGCTCGCACCAGGGGCTCGGCAGACAATGGATAACCACTTCCCGGCTGTATGAATTGGTCGTTGCTGATCAGACCGCAACTTTATGTCCAAACCAGCACTAGCAAAGGTCAGTGGCAACCTATGCGCCAACCTTTGACACGAGGACGATATGGATCCTACACCATAGCATGATGGCAGCTGCATCACGAGGGTGCACATGTCACGACAAGCATTTCTTTGCCTGTATTCTCAAATGGGGGCAAATACGGAAAGTGACGGCACATTATGTCCCATATTCCCCGGTTGTTTTCTGAAGCGCTTGTGAAAGGGATGAGCGACCTTTGGCAAAACTTATAAAGCGACTATTTGGGGATGGGACAGACACGCTATTACCATTTTACACTTCGTGGATGAAGTCGGTCGGTGGTCTTACGGAGCATATACGCATGGTCAGTCAGAGGAGTGGCCGTAGCTTGTGGCACATGGGAGATCAGAGCCGGTCCGGCAGGCGATCTTTGACAAGACAGTGCTGATCGATACGTGCGCCATATCCGTATCCTTCATGCTACTGGACGAATAGTTCTCCTTGAGGGAAGGGGTCTAGTGTGTAAGACGGCAAAGGAAGCCTATGCATCCAGTCTTTGGACGGGACCCAATCAGAGCCACAGCAAGTGGGTGATGCAACAATCGTCATTGGTGGATTCGCAGGTATGCCACTGCAGTGCGGGGTAACTGCGGCGTCTGGCCTTGGCTGCGTTGTTCGTGCAACTTGGTTTGGTCGCTGCCTGGACTTCGAGCAGCAGCCTTGTTCTTCATGCTCGCTCTCTCCGTCTCTCTGTCTGTCTCTCACGCATCTATCGGTCCTCCTATGTACTTTCTAATATCTCAGCGATAGCCGCCCAACTCGTCTCCACGCGTCCGTCATGGCCAATCTCGATCTCCCGGCCTTTGGCATCCGCGACCTGAACGGCCCTACGTCTCCTCCGGGACTCGTCCAGATTACCGCCTCACAGTATGACAGCACCATCCATAGCCAGCCTGATGCCGTCCTTTCCTACATCGACCTCGATGACGGTGAGCTTATCACCGTCGGGAGTTCCTTCGAGCTGCAACAGCGCCTGGAAGAGCCTGTACCTCCCTCAGCCACCCATGTCCCTTCCCTCGTTCTAGACTTGGCCCCGGTGAGAGCTGCAAGAGAGGCCAAGGAAAACCGACTGGTGCACATCTTTGACATCCGGCACACTAGTGGGAGTCTGGCTGTGTGGAGAGACCATGAGGCATATACCAGGAAGAAACTACGGGATCGAGAGTCTCCGTCGCCGTCACGTCCAAGTACAAGAGTTTCCAGTCCACACAAGGCATCCTCATCCAGGTTCACTCTCAACAAAGCAGTCGACCAGGACACACTGGACAGAAGTCCCACTGTAACACTTCAGTCAGCTCAGGTTTCGGACACTACCACGAGCAATGAGAGCAAGACTGGTCACTGCCCCGCCGCACAACCAGTCATCTCTGGTGACAGTGAGACTTCGACACAGACGGACAAGGCCCCTGCGAGTCCGCTTGCCCGCCTTGAATCTCACCTAGAGCCTTTGGCCGACTTTCTCGAATCCACAGCGGAGGGCCTGCGAAAGCTTGCAGAAAAGACTGCAGAGGCTGATACGACCCCTGTAGAGAATGTCTTGTGTGGGTTTAAGAACATTCTGAAAGAAGCGGGCGAATTCGGGCTTGATCTTTTGGCAACACTTGTGGACGAGGAACTAGAAAAGAACAGAAGGGTGGGAGTTGGCATGGCTAATGGAGCCGCCTCTAGTTCAGAAATCCGGGAATCCTCCTGCCCCTCCAGTACAACCGAGAATCCCAGGGGAGAAGACAAGCTTGAATCTGATGTTGATCCCTCTGAAAAGAGAGTCAGCTTCGTCGACGCAACGCCTACAGAACCGCCTCACATGAAGCTGAACCATGCGGTACCCGAGGCCCTGAAGAGACGCAGCTCCTCTTCAGAAGTCCAGGCATCAAGCCAACCTTCGTCTGTACTTCCAACAGACGCTCAACAACCACATCACAGTCCCTATCCCTCGTCGAAGATTCCCTTACCACCCTTGTTCGCTCGTTACGTGCCTGGTGCACCAGTCCAGTCTGTTGGAAACTCCATTATTGACTCGCAGCCATCTGATTCCGATGTTCTGACCCGATATCCGCCCCTACCGTCTCTCCGCAAAGCCGTCAGTGTCAGCGGATTGCACAGCAAGTCTGGATCATCCAGTAGCTACCAACGCGGCTTGAGCACTACATCCGCCCTGTCTCGCTATCCCAGCATTGGCCAATTTGAAGAGCAATCACGTGCAAACCCTCGAGCCAATCTCGACTCGAAGCAAAACTATAGTTACAGCCGTTGGAGCAGTCCGATGTGGCCACTGGTCCCACAAGTCCCTAAGAAGACCGACGTCTACAAGAAGCCCACAGTCGAAGATGAAGATGAGCCTGCCCCTGCGCCACAGACAGAAGTAGCAGGCAAAATAAAGGCTCCTGGCACTCAAGATGTCCCCAAGTGGCCTCCTGTGCCACTCCCCGGCGCGTGGCCTGAGCCAAAGCCTGAGCAACAGCCCGAGCCAAAGCGTGAGGATCGCACCAAGAAAGGGTTCGATACCACGGCTGACACTAGCAATATGTCCAAAGATCTCCCGCAGTGGCTGCTAGGGGGAGGTCGAGGCTCATTTACTGGCGGTCTTTCACAACGGACTAGCAGCCCTGATGCCATGACATACTCTCGCGGACCGGTCTTTCCCAGAAAGTCCCAGACAGTCAGTAGCACCAACCCCTCAGCGAGACTTACTGGACCATTCGATCCTCTCGCACACATTCCCGTCCTGCAACCGCGACCCCAACGATCGCAGCCAGACTTGTCTGCGTCCAAGGTAGGCTTTCTGAATACTCGAGTCAATCCAGCCTTTACTGGACCTCTACCACAACGGAGCCACACCCTTCATCATACTGATCGTTACAAACCTCGTGATACTGCTCCGTACCATAACCCTAGGTACAGTTCCTGGGAGAACTATTTGAAGAACAATCGCAGCACGGCCGCGAACTCTAGCCTGACCTACTATCCCTTGCGCAATCCATTTTCCGACGAGTCAAAATCTGGACCCGCACCTCCCACTACGTTCAACCGTCCAGTACCCCCGGGTACAAGACCACCTATTGTCCCGCTTCAGAGACCAACGCGGCCATTGAATAGGACGCAGCCAATCGCAGACCAAAACATGCATTCTCCCTCAGCTGGATCTCCACCATCAGTACCACAATTTCTTCGCGCTTCCCCTCCAGAAATTATTAGGGTAGGACCACCAAACGTCAATGCTACCTCCGTACCATCACCTCCGACCCTACCTGCACCGCCTCCGGCTGCTGTAATCTCGCCACCAGCGCCGGCAGCCAGTACTGTCTCTCGTTCGTCTTCGATCCTTTCCCCGTGCCCACCAGCTTTCACTCGTCCTCGCGGTCGCTCAGGGGCCTCTCCACCGGCGCCATTTTCAAGCAAGTCAGTTGACGAGTGCGTCAAGGCGCTGAAAGCTATGGGCTTCGGCAGAGACGATGCGAACGAGCTAGCTCGTCTGAACGTCTATGCGGGAATGGCCGCAGGCGATATCGAGCTCGCAATTGAGTTGATCGAGGAAGATCGTCAAGCCGCCAAAGAGCTTGGAAAGGTAGAGCACATTGAGATCAGCAGGGATCTGGAGAAGGAGGCCGATGTAGAGGAGAATCCCTGGGAAGATTAAACAGAGAGCGTCGTGTCAGATGTTGGAAACCTGGGCTTTTGGGACTTATGATGTATTCGAGACAGAAATTGCAAGCCTACGATCAAAAACAAACCTCTCGGACTCGAGGATCGAAAGGTCCACGAATTTTTGCTCCCAGTCACCTTTATAGTACAAAGGGTGTAAATCCACCAGCCCGTTATATCTGATCTCTTGTCACTTCACCATTTCGTGGCATGCAAGCACCAGTAATCTCGTCCGTGATCGACACCCTTATTCACCAGCCTCTGATTTACTCCCCGTCCCGGAGCTTCTATATCTACCTCCCTACCTACTACCTACCTCCCTACCTACTACCTACCTCCCTACCTACTACCTACCTCCCTACCTACTACCTACCTCCCTACCTACTAC